TGATCTGATTTCCAGGACCCAGGATACAAATGTGCAATGGCCACCACAAATTCAGGCCAACTCAACTGATGCTCTACAAACTCAAGCCAAGAGTTGGAAATTTCGCCACCTGCATACCAGCAAGTCCACTTGGCCCATTCTTGATCATCAAAGCATTTCTTGTGCTTGCAAAGATTTCAGACCATTTTGAAATACCTAAAAAGGTCAGATACATGTCCCAAGAACCATGGGGCATCACTTGAATGCCTCAACAGCATTTCCTCTAGCTCTTTCAGTGCATTCTCATGGCTTCTTTGCAAAAATTCCACTATCAATTTGCCTTCAGAGTTGGCTCTCAACTCATGTGACCTTTGTGAATGTTGCTCACCTGTCAGTTTTCACTTGAGTACAAGTCCTGATCTGAGGTTCTAAGTGTAGACTGCAGTGAATTTAAAAACTCCAAAAGACTTAGCTATTTGATCTGAGCACTTGTGGTGATAAGGTGGTGACTCCTTCCCCAAATGAACAGAACCCCCCTTGTGGTGTGCTCCAGATGTAGGAATAGGTAATAGATAGTACCTAGAATTAGTAATAGTCAGTGATGGGTGAGATTTGTGCTTGACCCAAAAGGGAGGTTCTTGCTGGAGAAAAGAAGTGTAGTAAAAGTGTAAAAATACAAACTGAAACAAATACTTAGCTCTGCCTGTCTAATACCTCTTTCCAGTCCTCCTGGCCCTTTGGGTACTCCCCAAAGTAATAATACTAACTTCACAAACTCACTGAAATGTGAGACAAAATCACCCTACTACTGAGGACCTGTGACATGGATTTTTTGTATGGAAAACTGAACTCATGTGAACACAGCATGCATGCTTAGTCAGCAATGCAGCTGCTTGCCACCAAGTCCAGTGGTACAAACATGAAAACAAAAGCAAGAAATAAAACAAGTCCCTCAACCCCTAAACTCCTGACCAAGACAACTTCTCCTAGGGAACTCAAACCCATTCCCTACAGTGCACAGGCTGTCCATGTGTTGTGACTAAATGTGACTACACTATGTGCAAATGGCTTGCATCCTCCTACAACACTGCTGATGTCCTTACCAAGGCTTTACTGCTGTCACACACCAAAGGTGTTTGGTGAGGTGGACATGAATGCAGCTGAAGAATGGAGATGAAGACCATAGCCCTCATGTGAAGAAGGACAGCCAGAAATGTCAGCAGTCATCCCTCACACAAGAACAAGTTATCAATGCCAAAGAAAAAGGAAGGAAGGAAGTTAAGTGCCAATAAAAAGTCTTAAGCACCCATGTATGGCATTCCAGTTTTCAACATATCTCCACCAATTCCACAGATACTGACACCATTCCCATGCTCGCTTATAGTACTCAGCCACACAATCCTACCTTCCAAAAGTGGAAAGGATTTGTGCACTCCACATGTTTCTACAGCACTCCCTCCAAAAGATGCTCATTTTGCTAATTCTTCTGATATGGCCACCTCTACATTGATCACTTCACTTGTCCCCTTTGCTAGGGACCATGGCTTCATATATCTACCAGGAGTTCCTACCAGCTTCCACCCTGCAGCATCCTCATACATCCCATCCTCATCTGCCCCCTCTCAGCCCATCCAGCTTGGACAGTACATTCTTTTTGTCAGTATGACCTCTAGGAGGATGTTCTTTGGTCACCTCAGGTCTGTCATTCACTTGGAAAGGTCTTATGTGGTCATTTCAGTCTCTCCAGTCCAAGAAGCATATGGATCCTTCCTCCCTGTTCCCTGCAACATCTTCATACCAGTCTCATCCATCATTCTTCCAAAATTGTGACAGCTACAGTATAATCTACTGTTCTCCACTCTTCCTGATCACATCCATGACAAGTATGATGCACATCTTGCCTCCTTATTGCAAGAAGAGGATGGTTTGGGGGGAAAGTTGCCATCCCCTATGCTCCTGTCACCCCACAGACCCCCAAAGCTTGACCCCTGTTGACATCTGACTCACCCTGTCCACTTTTGGATGTACTATATCAGCATCAGATCAGTGCTGCCTCTCTGTCATCCCACTTTGGCCCAGAAGTGATCTCTTCAAGATGTGACATGCACAGCTTCCCCCTAATGCAATTCCAATGTGCTTTCCCAGTTCCTGACATTACTTGACTCATACTTTGACATTCTGACTGTCTTTGACTCACCTATTGCCAATACTTACCAATCTTTTGACTTTGCTTACTGATTCTTTGCTTTTTGGCTTACTTATCCTTACCAATGCTTACCAATGCTTTCTAAGATGATTGCCCATCACTTACATTCCTTACTCATCAGTTACCAATCACTTACCAAGTGTTTGCACCTTGTTTTCCATAGGCAATGCCCCTGTACTATATATAAATCATTGTACTTAGGATAGCTGAATAAGAAGACATCAGAGAGCCCCCTCTTGCTCAGCAATTCATCATCTCTCAGTAATTCATTCAGCAGCTTCAATAGCTGAGACTTTATTAAGGGTCTAACTATTGTCTACTTTGCTTATCATCATTTATTATCAATATACTTTGCTCCAAACCCTCCCTGAGCTCAGTGCAGCTTAGGACATCAAATTAAGTCTTCATCCATCCTTCTGTAGGCTGACAGCAGTCTACCCCCATCACATTCTATCACATTCTTGCTCCCTCTTCATCAGGAGCACCCCCAACCCTCAGCACTTGTCTTTGAGTGTTGTAGCTTGAAAAAACCACCCAAATAAAAGGTTCTACCATCTAGGTACTGCATAGGTACACCACCACTCACTCTTATTGTCTTTTGTGTTGGTTTTGGTTGGTTTTCACCTCTGAACCACACTTTGACTCACACCACATCCTTCTTTCTCTTGCCATGTCACTGGCCTCTCACTCATGTCCCATTGAGGGGGCACTGCATCAGGTTTTTCAACAGTCACTCTCCTCCTTTTTCTTTTCTTTTGTTCTTCTTTGTTTTTGGAACTCATATGCATAGGTCTCAGAAGTCATACACAGGTCTCACTCTACTTAGGAAGTTTGTGTTTCCCTTGTTTCCCTTTCTCCTCTTCATTTACACATGTCCTGCTGAGGGGGCATGTTGGTGTCAATGGTCGCATGGCTATGCATGTCTGTACTTGTAGGTTTGTTTGCATTTCTTTGCACCTCAGCCATTGTGTCTACAATGCTGAGCATGTCTGATCAGTTTCCCTACACTTGCCTTGGTAAGGGAATACATATATGAGCATGGTGGTTCTTCCTTTGAGCTTCACTAGTCACTATCAACAAGTTATTGTGATGTGCATTTTATAAAAGTCTATTCCAGAAAATTTGCAGGTGGCTGTGCCCACAGCCACTGCAAATGCATGGTAGCCTGCTGACTAAGCAGAGGGTGCATGTGCAAGAAAGTGAGGGTCAGGTGACTTGTGGGCTGCATGCAACCCTTGCCTGTTCATTGCTACTCAATTCAATGCTACTGAAAGACACTATGTAGGCCATGTAATCACCCTGTTTACAAGGTTGCTCCACCCCAAAATTCATACATGATTTTTTGGTCAGTTGTGATTATCATGTTTTGGGTCTCAGCACTGAACTCCACAGCTCTGAAGTACCACCATGTGCAATGTCATGAGATGAACACCCTCCAATATACAGGGTGACCAATGCCTGACACTCCCTCCAACTACAAACATTGAGGCAAAGTGACTGTGGTGAGCCCCACCCATTGTTTGTGCCTTTCTCATCTCCATGACTAATTGCAGGACACTTCTTCAGCCTCCCTTATGTGTGATGAGAGGGGGCCCCCCTCTGAACATAGGTGTGTATTCAATCTTCTCCACAGCCCTCCACCTCCCAGTGGCCTGGGCTTCTTGTGTAGTTGAGTTGCCTTTGGATTGACTGGGGACAGTCAAGGTCTCAAGTACCCCTGGGATGTAGGGAATGTAATTTCCCTACTAGGGGAATTGTTTTGTTTTGTTCATTTTACTTGATTTTCATTCTAGATATTTTTTTCCTACTAGTTGTACTTAGATTTTGCTTTTTTTTTTTTGCTTAGTCAGCACTACCTAGCAATGGTGTAGTAAGTTTTTTTTAACAATAGACAAGTTACCCTGAGACAAGAAGGCCAAGTTCAAATTGGGCCAGTCCTGCCCATAGACTGCTATAGATGTCCCCTGATGTCCCCTTTGCTCAGGCTATAGAAGCCCCTCTGGACCTACTAACTCCCCTCAGATTCCATCACCCCCATCTCACTCTCAAAAAACATTTTCCTTGACCATGTGTATACCTCAAGGTGAGAGTCTGGAAGAGTCCAAATGAAAAAGAAAAGAGCTGTAACCTGTGTCAACTAGATTGTAGCTGTATGATAAGATCAAGAGATAAGATGAAAAAGGAAAAGATAAGATAAGAAAAAGATGTGTCCATTACAGCATAAGCACCCAGCACTGGCACATGTGCCTAACAGGTATGATGTCAGAGATGATATCATAGTGGAGTGGAACACTCTAGCATGAATTAGCCTTGACTCAAAGGGCTGGACCATTAGTCCAGGCCAAGACTCAAGGGTGATAAGATACAAACAATTCAGATAAGCTGAAAAGATTAGATAAGATCAAGAAGAGAAAATATACTTATCATAACAATACAGTACATGTGAACAGGCTGGCATCACTTCTCCCATACCCCAACACTCAAACTGTGCAGCTTTGAACTGATCTTTGAAGTTGCTTTTGGACTAAGCATGGATATTTCCACTAAATGAAGTACTATCATGCCATTTCATTATTGCCACTTGTCCATCTCAATACACATCACCCCCTCAGCTGATGTTCTGATATCAGAAGCAGGGATAAAGACAAATCCATTCTCTTCCAGGTACTGATGGAACTTGAATGGTGTCAGTTTATTCCCAGATAAGTAAAGAAGGGCAGGAAAGCATACAGCTTTCTTTTCAGCTTTCCTACCATTGAGTGTGAGGGGCTTCTGCAGGACAAATGTCACGATCACACTGAGAATAGCAATGCCACTACCAATCCAGAATGGACCAGTACTGCCCTTCACAGTTTTCAAACCACAAAGGCTAAAGCAACAATATCCTGCTGCTTGAGTAATTACACCTTCCAATGAGTGCATCGAAACATACCATCAATAATTTGTGAGAAGACTATAGATGTTAGACATCAGTCTCAAGGGATATATCAAGCTATCCTAAGTTAAGTTTGCATGATACATACCCCATGTTCCAATGAGAGCTCCCACTTTGCCAATCGCACCTGCAACACTTTAAATTTGTCCACTGATACAAGCTGAAGGACCAGTTTTTGCTGCAAGAACATGGAGGCAACTGCCAGGGCCTTTTTCATGGCAGCAAGTATAAATAGACCAGTCAACCATACCATTTGACTCTTCAGACTCACCAACTTCACCAAGAGTTAAGAATATTCCATAGACAACCTGTATAATGCTTGAAAAGATATACATGTTTGGAGTTCAAATTGAATGAGCTTACTGCAAATGCAGCAATATGATTAGTGAGTGGGGTGTACATGCCTATGGTGAGGCCAAGAATGGCTTGCAAGAATGATCCAACAACCTGACAGATCAGGATCTAAATGTACAAGGCCCTAGCAGTGTGCAGTGTGTACTACATACCATTGTTGTCCTCACAGTGAGGTAATCAATGAGGTATGTGCCAAGCACAGTTCCTGCAATAGCTTCAGCTCATAGAGAACCAGACAAGCTAGATAAGGCACCTGGAATATGAAACAGACTACAGCAAGTCAAAACAACACCCTGCACAAGTAAAAGCCAACAAGCTTGCTTAATGAGAACAGTCCACCCCAACACAATTGAGATGGATAAGATCCCCCCAGTGACACTGCAATTCAATGAGACCCAACCCCCTACACATGACATACTGTGAAAGCTTACTTGTTTGTTATCATGGAAGAGTATATGGCAAACTATGACCAATCAGAGATACATTCACACAAGAGAATCATCTCACTGGGTACCTGCAAATCCTGCATCAGTGTTGTGCCCCCCCTGAGTCATTAACATGCACACACATGATAAAATCATAAATGAACCTTGTGTTGCCACACCAATTGAATATCAAATTACCACTCAGAAGTCACCATGACCACTCACCATGCCAATGACAATCCAAGAACACTTTTCCAGTACCACTTCAAGGAGAGCCAGTTGAGGATACACACTTCCTTAGGACTCACAAGTAAAATTTTACAGTTGCAGTCTGGTACATGCTTTGCTTGCTCCAGCATATGGTAAAAGGGAATTGCAATCTTCTACAAAACAACAAATGCAGGGATGGCACCAAAACCAAGCAAGAGACCACAGACCAGATGGAGGTACTGCTCACCAAAGCTAAGTGTGATAAGGGAGAGACTGTCACAATACCATGAGAGACAAACTTGCATGCAGTACAAGACAAGTGGGACAAAACCAGCAAGAACAAAACCAGCATCAATCATGGTTTCTATCAAAGGTTAACATGGACACTGACTGATGGGCCATATGCATGACTTACTGGTACCAAGTATCAACCAATGGTGTTCCTTCATCTGTTCTGAAGGAAAAGCCAAACCACAAGCATGACCTGCACCAACACCAAGGGCCAAGGAATAAACTTTACAATTGTATAATTGGCAACTGCTTTGGTGAATGAAGTCTCATGCTTACTGCACAACAAACCAAGCATCATGATGTCAGCAAAATCACTAAGATCCACTATGCCTGGCCCAAAACTAGAAATTATGGACAAGAAAGTGACAAAGAGAGATACAACTATCCATGTGTAACACTTAGCCATACAAATGAGGTCATGCAAAGTTCCCTACCATGTGAAACAACATGTCCACCCTGAAGCCACCATCTGAAACCCATCCAAAGACAAACATACTGAGTGCAGTCCCTTTTGAGGATTAGCCTGCTTGTGGTGCAAGCATGGAACATTGACTTACCAGCAAATGCAGGACTTGCCAATACCCTGCTGTAATGTTGTGTCCCAAATTGACTATCAGGATATTCATGAATCAATACTGATGGTAGGGATTAGTGCCTTGTGAATACCACAATCAAAGAATATACATACAAGTGATGACTGTAATAGCCAAGTCAGATTTGGGTAGAATCTAGAAGGGACACACATACCTGCTCCAATGACTCCAGTGGTGTAACCTACCCAGAGTGAGTTTGTCTTTGAGGAGAAATAGATAGATGAAACAGTACCATTTGAAAGTAGTGCTATACTGTGGCTGAGGGGTCAGGTGAAACTTCCTGTTAGTTCCAAGGACTCATGACAGAGTAAAGCAAACCTTACAAGAATAACAGGCAGAATTGTAAAGTTGAGAGTTGTTCATTTGTTACAACCATTTCATAGGGAATGATGAGCGAGAGATGAAAGCTTGACATGTCGAGAGCAAAGTACCAGGGCAAGTCACATTATAACTGTATAGTAAGCATGTTATAGGGGCCATGCATCCGCCCCTTGGAATGACCCCCTCTATTCTTTACACTCAGCTGCCAGCATTTTGGACAGCCCACTCAGTCAGAAGTCATGGGTAGGACTCAAACTCAGCAGTTGGGGAAATTGAACTAGTGACTGGTGTTCAGTATCTTGTTACTCAGTCCAATCCACTGCAGCACACTTGACATGAGGGATGAACATGCCCAAATCCACATCTCTGCCATTTCTACATCAATCTTAATATTTACTCTCAAGATCTGCAAATATCATCAACCAGCAGGACATTGAACTCCAGAGGGGACCATGTAAAATTGCCAAGCCTTTGTGTCATAATGACCTGAGGATCTTTGAGCATGACTGAAAGAGGCTGGAGAAATGATAAGTGGACACTGTCAGGACATAGAACTGCATTCCACAAGATCAGAAGCATTGTCAACATTCTCAGCAACATTATTAGCAGCAATAGGCATTCCCCAAGCAGAGAACATTGTAACCTGAGAGATTTATGATTAGCAGCTGCTGAGAAGTTATTGAGTCTGATGTCTTCCCCAAGATCCAGGTGTTCAAGCATATGGGCATGCTACAGATCAAGGAACGACAGACAGTCCAGCTTCTGTGTTGTGTAGATTGTAACACACATCAGGTCCCAAACTTCTCTGATAACACTGACCTCAAAATTCTTGACATTATTCCAAATAACAAGGTTGCACCAGCGACAACCACAAGAAACAACAAGACTAAGGGGTTGGGAGAGAACTTTGGAAAATCAATCTGAGAATACCAAGAGCATATTTCAATGTCAAGTAGACATTCACAACTTTTTACTTGTGCTGTCACAAGAGTGGTCCAGAGATGTGGTGACATCAAAATCATGTTTCTCCAATGACATGACATGCTAGCCAACCCCTGCTTGGTGTACTGATAGGCAAAGACTGGACAACGACCACCATTGATCACCAGGTAGATTATCTGACAAAGAGCCATAACAGGAAGATGGCTGATAGGGGAGTTTATAGTGTGGGTAGACAAGTTCATTGATCCTCTTTTTCTGCACAAGGGTAGCAGAGCAGATGTTGCAAAGACATTTGAACAGTGTCAATTTGGCTTGGGCTTTGGCAGGTTCATCCATAGTCATGTCACTGTGAAAGAATTAGTCATCAGCATTGTCCATGGAACAGTTCTAAGTAACACCAAAACCTTTACCAGCACACCCAAGGTAAGGAAAATAGGAAATGGGCTTATTGAATGTGGCAATAGAAGACATGAGTGTGTGTGTGACCACGTGACATCCCCTGTGGGTGGAGTTTTCATGTAGAGCCTTTGTAAGCAGTCACAGAGGTTTGCTTTGCCCCTCCTGACCTCTCCCATCATCTCACTAGGTGGGCCATTTCACACAGGTGCCCTTTCCTTACATCCTGACCTGTCTCTTCGTCCATCTGATAGGAATGATGTGTGTGCAGTGGCTGATGTGGGAGTGATTAGGTGCAAGCAAAGATATGTGCAAGGATGGCTGGCTCAGGACTCAGTGCATTCAGATAGGGAAGCAGGGTCGATGAGGTGATGTTCTCATCTCATAGGGATTCTTTCCCCTGCGGTAGCTACCTTATATCTATGTCATACATTTGATATCTCATCTATTGGGTGCCTTCCACCCCTACTCCCACCTTTGTATTTTTCACTTTGCTTGTCCCCTTCTTGGGGTTATGACATGTGTCCTGCACTCTCTGCATGTCATCATTTCCTTATTTGGGTGTGATGGTGGGTTGGTATTTCTACACACCCCCTCAAGCTGGGGTCATGCCCAAGGCTTCTCTGTTATGTTCATGTTTTGGTCTGGTTAATGCTTTGGTGAAAATATCAGCCATCATTTCAACCATAGGGCAGTATTTTCAGTTAATTATTTCTCTCTTCACACAGTCACAAATGAAATGATTTTTGGTGTCAAAGTGTTTTGATTGCTGGTGGTACTGCACATTTCTCATGATTGCTAGCACTGACTGATTGTCACTGTAAAGCATTGTAGCTTCTAATTGTGGGCAGTTTAGTTCACCCAGTAGGCTTCATAGCCATATGATTTCACATGTTGTATTTCCCATCAATATGTATTTGGCTTCTGCTGTAGAGAGGGCTACATGGCTCTGTTTCTTTGAGTACCATGTAACCACACCTTGGTTGAAAATGGATACATAGCCTGAGATTGATATCCAATCATCATCATTAGTGAAGTCAGCATCTGAATACATAATTAGTTTATTGTATTCAGGATGAGCTGGGTCAGCTTTGTAGGTGATCCCATAGCTCTTAGCTCCTGCTAGGTATCTTAGCATTCTTTTTGCTGCTGTCCAATGGGGCAGGTTGGGATTTGCCATGAAGGATGCAAGTCTATTGACTGCATATGTTATATCAGGCCTTGTGGCCACTGATGCATACATTAGGTGTCCTATGAGTGTTGTGTAATTGCTGCTAAGTACACCTTCAGCCTTGGTGTCACATGGACTTAGCCATGTACCCAGATCAAGTGGAGTTTTGACTGGATTTGCATCATTCATTCCATATTTTTGTAGTAATCCCTCTATATAGTGTGTCTGGCTGAGGGTGATTGTTCCACTGGTGCAGTTTCATGTGATCTAACTTACTTGGGTCTCCAAGGTCTGTTACCTCAAACATATTTTGTAGTTGTGTTTTTAGTTTGGTCATAAGTTCAGCAGTATTGGTGATGAGTACTAGGTCATCTACCCATACCATAATGATCTCAATTGTAGTCAAGGTCTTCCTTATGTATACACAGGGATCAGAGTGAAGTCGAGCAAAGCCAATGGTCTGTAATTGGCCATTTAGCTCTTCATTCCACTCTTGTCCAGATTGTTTCAGTCCATATAATGTTTTAATTAATTTGCATAGGCATCCAGTTTTGTCATTGAAACCCTCAGGCTGCTCCATATATATTTCTTCTTTTAATTTTCCATTTAAATATGTGCCCTTCACATCCATTTGTTGGATCTCCCAGTTTTGGGTGTTGGCCAATGATAAGATAAGGTGTATTGTTTCTAATCTAATGACTGGGGAATAGGTATCATTGTAATCCATTCCTGGGACCTGGGAATACCCCCTGGTGACTAATCTTACCTTGTATTTTTGGAGTACCCCATCCCTGTTGTATTTTCAGGTAAATACCCATTTATTTGATATGGGTGGATCTACTAATATCCATGTCCCTTTTTCATGCAATTGTTGTAATTCAGCTTCTATGGCTTTTTGCCATTCCAGCCACTCAAGTGAGGCTTTAGCCTCTTGTAGTGTCTTGGGGTCGCCTTCCCCTAATGTACTTTCATTAAATGCCAAATACACTTGCTCCACCAACAAGAGCTTGTGATTCTCTGATGTTTGATCATTGTTTAGTAATTCATCCAAATTGGGTAATGGATTATTCAACACATTGTAATCATGTAACATCTGGGCCCTTTTGCTTCACCTCATGGGCTTGTCATGTGACTCTATTTGTTTCCATTTTGATTCCACCTTATCATTGACAGTTCTTTCTTCCTCACCTCCAATGTCTCCCCCTGCATGTGGCAGGTCTCAAGGAGGCAAATTGATTTCCAGATGGAATCAGTAATTCCTCGAGGTGCAGATTTGTCTTGTATGTGTGTTGAAATACTGAACAGCATGTGGGCCATCTAGGAAGCCCATGAATGGGTACACATGTGATCTCACATCCAACTTGGAGATCATTTGGTGTTCATGGAGGATCCATATGCACATCCCAAACTCTTGCAAGTGTGATACATTGGGCTCTTGCCCATGCCATCCCTCATATGGTGTTCTATCACAGGTGTGTGTCCATGCATGATTGCACACATAAACTGCATGATTTATGGCTTCACACCACAGGAATCTCAGCATGTCTCTTGCTAGTAGCATTGCCCATCCTAGCTCTATGATGGTGCAATTGAATCGCTCAGCCACACCATTTTGGGATGGCAAGTACAGTGCCATAGGTTCTAGCAATATTCCTTTCTCTTTGCACCATGTTGTCAGCATGTTGTTGATGTATTCAGTTCCATTGTCACATCTGATTCTCTTAGGGGATATCTCTCTCTGTCTTTCCATCATCAACATGTATTCTTTGATGTGTTCTGTGGCTTCCCCTTTGTGTTTCATGTAGTAGACTGTAGCATATCTTGTTGCATCATCTATAAATGATATGTAGTATCAATAACCTTGGATGGATGTCATATGTGATGGTCCCCATACATCTGTATGAGTTAACTCTCCCAACACTGAGGTTCATTGTGTTGCCTCAGATGGGTGAGGTTTGTGTGGCTGTTTAGTGGCAGTGCATGCTTCACAATTGAAATCAGGCAAGTTTGGATCGACTTTGAACCCTTTTACTAACTTCTTATGGAACAGGCAGCATAGTCCACTTATCCTGATATGGCCAAAGCATTTATGCCATGTCTTCCACGAGGTTGTTTCATCTGCAAGACTGGTTTGCTTGTTCTTTGTAGGTATTGTAAATTGTAGTTCATACAAATGATTTTTCTGCTTCCCCAGTGCAATGACATCCCCTGAGGAATTGCACAACTCAATCTGGCCTCCTCCACTAATGGAGCAGCCACCTTGTGCATCTAAGTGGCCAATTGAAAATAAGTTATTAGGCAATGATGGCATGTGTAACACATCTTGTAAATTGACAGTGACTGTCTGGTCACCTATTTGACTATTCACTGTGACTGTGCCACATCCAGGTATGGCAGCCAGCTTGGTACCTACTCTGGAGACTGTTTTGTCTGGTAGTACCTTGTAGGTGGTGAATGCTTCACAATGAGCACAGATATGCAATGTTGTAGCACTATCAGCCAACCACATGTATGCAGAATAGGTCTCTGATTTGGGGGACTTTGTATCTACACTTTTGGTAGAGGAGAATGCTACATCATCATCTTTGGAGTCCATATTCTCCACTGCACAATGCACCTTATCTGATCATCCGGAGCATTTACTAGACCACTTCCTATCCTGATCTCTATCTTGGTCTCTAGATCTCTGTCTTCGCTGTTTATCTTTGTTATCTGGGTTGGTCCAACACTCCTGAGTGGTGTGGCTGAACCATCAGCAGTGTCTGCATTTGGGTTTGTTCTTGAAGTGGCATTCAGAGGTTCTGTGGTTGGTGCAACCACATATGTCACACAGGCCCAGATGGTTGGCCTTATGTTTACTGCTCCCACCACTCTTGGCATAGTACTCACTCTCTCCACCCTCACACTTGTGGTGTTCCCACTTGGTGAAGAGTAATGATATTATCTCTTGTGTAGATATCTTTGTTGTTTGTGAATGCGACCCTCCAAGGAAGCTGGAGGTATAGGTATCCCACAAGGTAGGGAGTGATGACAGCAACACAGCCTGGAACTGGGGGTCAGGTATGATGTCACCCATTTCATACAGCCAGTTCTGCAAGTCACATAGTCTAGTGATATGATCAGGGAGGTCCATGTCCTCCTGCACCTTGAGGCCATAGACCTCATGCCTAATAGCAGCAATGGACTGCTGGCCCTGGGTCTCATGTACTATGTGTAGATTACACCACAATGTGGCACTGGTCTCCATCTCTGATTGGGCATGGATGGTCTGATCATTAGCAAGATTTGCCATAAGCATCACATATGGATGTTTGTCATGTTTAGGCCAGGCATTCAATTCATCTGGCAGGATCTTGGATGGCTGTGGGTTGTCCCCTGTCACCATCTTGTACAGATCTTGGAGCCAAAGTATGGCAGTGATCTTCTTTTTCCATGCTGCCCAGTTATTAGAGGTGAGCTTCTCCATCTTAACTATCTTCATCTCTCCCTCTCATCCTCTCTCTCTGGATCTGGCTCACCCCTTTCCCTTCAACAATGCCATCACCAATGTTGAAGACCCATCAATGGCCAGGCTTGGCCCTATTGGTTGTGACAAGGGGCCTGCAACTGCTGGTAAGTCAACAGGTGAGTCAGGCATTACCTGGGGCATCCTTGAGGCACTAGCTGATGCCATTGGTGCTTCAGGTGAAGACCACATTGGCCTGCCAGTCTATGCATTAGGGGGTCCATCCCCTTCAGGTGTCATGCCTCATGGATTGGCTGGCACCCTTGCTCTCAACATCTCTCTTCTCCCCCTTCTGACAGATAAACAGGTGGATCTTCTTGGCTCTATGTTGGTGGCTTGGTGACAAGGTCAGTTACAAGCAGGTGGGGCTCATAACCTGATAGGAATGATGTGTGCACAGTGGCTGACATGGGAGTGATTAGGTGTGAGCAAAGATATGTGTGAGGATGGCCAGCTCAGGACTCAGTGCATTCAGATAGGGAAGCAGGTCAACAAGGTGATGTTCTTGTCTCATAGGGATTCTTTCCCCTGCAGTAGCTACCATTATATCTATGTCATACATTTGATATCTCGTCTATTGCTGTGTGCATCCACCCCTACTCCTGCCTTTGTATTTTTCACTTTGCTTGTCCCCTTCTTGGGGTTATGACATGTGTCCCGCACTCTCTGCACGTCATTGTTTCCTTATTTGGGTGTGACGGCGGGTTGGTATTTCTACACCATCTCGCCAGCTTAGTAATTTTTGATCACCTGGCCCACCCGCCACTACTTACGTTTTCGCCTGACATTCCCAATTTGGAATACCGCCGGTGTATCACGTGATATGTTGGGGCGGGGGCGGACAGGCACCCCTGAGACTTTACCCATCCATATCCAGAAACCTGAGGCTGACAGGGATACATAGTAAATAAATGTATCGCTATCCCCCCGCTGTCTTTTCTTCGCCCACAATGTCCCCCATCTTCTCTAGATCTGCGTCCGCCCCTCATTCGAGTATCGACTATGCAAGGGGGGCTCGGGTACCCCCACCATCGTCCTGGCGGCCATCTGCCTCACCTTGCTTGTCATATTCGTTGTTTTATTCGCATATTACTTTTTTCGGGCGTGCACGGGAACAATTCAAGGGAGCACAAATTGACGATGCAGCCGGAGACACAGTGCGCCTCTTTTTTGCCACACGTAGTTCCACCCGCCGCACTCCATTCCATACAGGCTACGGCGTCCACATCAAGAACTGGCATTCCCCAGGGGGAACTGGAGAAAGGCATTTCGGAGAGTGTGAAGTAAGTGCACGAGGCCTCGACCCTACAAATCTGACGTCCTTCAGTCCGGTGAGACACAGAGTCTACTGGCAGCGCAGTGTCCCCTATGTAGCAACAACGATGAAAACAGCGATGACGAAGAAGATGGCGACGGCAAAGACAAGCCATGCAACGATTCTGTTCACGGCGTGGAAGGCCCCCTGTACTTCATCCCCGACCATTTCCGTGGTTTCGGGAAAGGTTTGCCGTGAGAGTAAAACCTCAAAATTGCCGCCACTTCCTTGTCTTCGCAGCACACAGTCTCAGAATTGGAATATCTCGTGAACCGGAGAAGCTGGTGCCCTAATTCCTTCAGATTTTGACTCCCCCGATTCGATCGCAGGGCACCATGGCAAAAAACCCAGTATTCACCCGTTCCAGTTCTCTTACTCAAAAATTACCCCCTCGCGGACAGCGCGACCACATTTGCTCATGAAAGAACACCTTTCTATATCACATGCTCAAGATCCTTCACCGCTGTTCCCCATGGATAACACATTCGTGCTGCAACCCACCGACTATATCATTGATCCCGCGGCCAGCAACCTAGGTCTTTGCCTGTCGTGGCCGAAGGCGTTACTGCCGAGTTCGGACAGTGTTGATTGGCAACTTGGTGAAGGTAGGCGTTCCTTTTTGGCTTCTCCTTGCCGACTGTAGGCGTCCCCAGGAACCCTGTTCCTGCGTACCGTGCACTCAGTATGGAGGTGAGTCGGAAAGAATTGTGGTTTGCTGGGTGTAATGCGTATATTGCTGTGTCGGCTCGAAGTTATGGTATTGATCGTGAGGAATATCCCATGATGGGTCTCTACGCGATATCGAATGCATCGGCCACCATCGAATCTCCCATTTGCGTTCCTGCTTTCCTCTCGTCCGTATCTGCGACCGTCGCAACGATCCTTCCCGTCTTATACCACACCGCCACATACGTTCAACACCTCGCTTCAGGCGACGCTTCGAGAAATAGTTGCATCTGATTTGGCGACGAGTACTTACCCTCCCACTCTTGCTTCACCCACCGTGAACGTGTCCGCCTCCCCGAAGGTCTATGATGCGTATGCGACGATGTATACAAATTCAGAAGACCGGTCTGTCACATCGACATATCACGTTTCCGACTCGACTACAACTCTTAGTGTCCCGCCTGGGTGGAGCCGTGCAGCATTCCCTAGGAATACCTTACATCGCACTCGCGAAGCTCGTTATTTATCACGATCACTACGATCGTTTGGATATTGTCATTGCATTCAGACGGACAGCGCACCACATGTACAATCTGTGCGCTCTCAATGCTATTTATAAGCTTTTTTTGGTTCGTTCTGTTGTTCCGTCGCCGGAAGGTTGAAACCGCACATTCAGTCGTTTGCACTAGTGGATCCTCTTTCTTGATCGTAGAACGACTACACTGGGGTGATCCCCACCTTCCGTAGAGCATAGTACCTACCAACAGTATCTCCCACATCGTCCAACCACCGAGTACTGTTAAAGGTCCTCAATAAGTGTTCGAACCTCAGCCGCTCTCTCCTTGAACAGCATGATCTGGTTCTGTCCGTCGGCCATGAGCTTCTCATAACTTAGTGAGATTTCCCGTCGTATCCACTGCTCCACCGACAACTCTCGCTCCTCTTCTGTGAGTGCTTCCGAAGGAGGTAGCACCGGTGTCGGCGCTGTATAAAATACGCTATCTTCCACCATCATCGGCACCGGTATTTTTGCATCTGGTATTGGTACTCTTGCCGCTGGCAGTGCTGGTGATGTTGCTGACACGGTGGGTGCTGATGTTGGTGCTGGCGCGGATTCGAGTTCTGGTTCGGGTGACGGAAGTGGGGGCCTAGGGTCATCGTCTTCCGCCTCCATAGCAATAGCGGCATCTGGAGGAACGGGTGGCGACGGTTTCGGTTCCTCGTCGACCTGCGGGTTTACTCTCCGTCCCTTTTCTGTTGTTACCTCCTGTTCAGTTTCCTCATCCTCTTTTTCTACCTTCGTCGCTTTATCTTCCTTGCGCGACCGCGTCCGTGAATGCGTTCTTGTATGTTTTGGAAGAGCCGCCGTACTTTTCTTCCCAGCCTTTATCGACCCCGACCGCGCCAGTTTAGCGGGTGCAGTTGGCTGCGCGAACGAGAAAAACGGACAACCGCATTCCAACTTGGTTGCACGTTTTCGGTGTTCGTGACTGCAACGTATAGTATGCGTGAGATACATTGTGTGTCCATGCTAATAACAGATAGAAACAATCCTGACGGTAGATGATACGTACATGGGGTCGTCGTCCTTGTCCCACCCCCCCAGGGCAGTATTGCAGTATAAGCATGTAACCGTATCGTCACCTGCACCTTGAGGGGTGTAAACGAACCCTGCTCGAGCCATCTTGTACGAGCACGAGTGAGCAAAGACAGGTAGATGGAAGGATACATAAACAGCGCGATGCTGGACGAACCTTTCTCGAGCTGGCTCCGTGGTTTGGGTCATCGTCGTAAGGCCACCAGTCCTCCCCAAACGTCTTCAAGCGCGCTTCTTCTATGGCCTTGGTGGTAGGTATTCGAGCCTTGTTCGTGAAAGTAAAGCTAGAGAGTGGATAAATACGAGCTCAGCACAGTGTGTGATAGCCACGACGATGAAGGATGATCCGGCAGAAGAAAAGACTCACCTTCCCTCACTGTCCATATCCTCTACGAGACCGCACCGAACGATGGCCCATCCACAGGCCTCTCCACACTTCTCATAGTGAACCGCGAACGGATCGTCCTGCGCATCCCAATCGCTCAGTTCTTTCCCACATAGAAAACAAGCGACACAGTCCCTATCATCCCAGCTGGGACAGAAGAAGAAGCCAGCTTCTGCGAGCGTGTTCGCGTTAGCTTTGTATGAAGGCGGATGGGGCCATTTAACCGTCGCGGATTGTGTGGAGGTCTTCTTGGAGGGGTAGCGTTTGACGCGTTTTGACTTTTTGAAAGACTCGACGCGGTTTTGGAGGGCGTGCATGGCAAGTGTTGGAGGCATCGCTGAAACAACAACTTGATCAGCTTGAGTCGTTATGTATGAAGCAAGAAACTCTGCCGCAAACACTCATGTTACCATGGCGGAACCGCCGCAAACCGACGTGTCTCGTCCATCTGCGCTTCCGACAGCAAAACTACTCCACCGACCTGCGCTCGACCAGGCGCTGGTAGACCAAAACTCAGAAGAGTATCTCGATGCTATCGAAGAGGAGTGGAACAAGAAGCTCGATGCCGAGGTAGAGGTACTGGTTGACGGGATGGTCGACATCGTCAATCTCGCATCTGTATGGTCCAATATCATACGTTCCATCCCCGCACACTCTCAGCGACTTTTTCTTGCGTCGTAGATTGGGGACAAGGACAAGTTCCGCATCGCTCAGGAAGCTTTCCAAGCAGAGCTGCGTGCCGAGTCCATGGTAAGTCAAACTACGTACTTTCACTTCACCATCCGCGACGCACACGACGAATAAACGATAGGTCCGGGCTGCCAACTCGCTGCTTTCCATTACCCATTCCCTGAAACTTTTACTGTTACTCTCAGACGAAGCCCAGATTGCGCGGTGGCGAGATGAAGAGATGAAGAATCTCCAGCAGGAGAAGAGCGAAGCACAGCAGGAAGTAGCTATTCTACTAGATGAACTTTTTCGAAGTTCTCTACAGCTCACTTGAGTAAAGGGATCTTGTAAGTTACAAGTTCAATTCGCCATTTGAATGGGACGAGGATACTATGAGTCCCAAAAAGAACTGCGTTCTAATTTTTGTGTTGGACTCATAGGATCTCCAGTACGTTCAGTTGAATGTACCCAAAGTTCTGGCCCTTCTTAAAAAGTTTTTTATTTGCAAAGAGGCAGTCAGATTCTGGGCGCAAGGCGCACCACAATGAAATCATTCATTTGCAATGTGGGATATATAGCAAGCCTCCTCTACGACTGACCTCTAGCGGTGCTCTCCTTGCAACGTACACGAACTTCCCACAATGCCCGGTCAACGCCTCTTTCAATCCGATCCGCCTCCTGATCCCTCTCATCTCCCCGACTCTATTCTAGACAATAGCGTCCAGCTCGACGTCTCCTCCCTTGCTATCAGCAATGTAGAGCTTGACGTTATTCGGAAGTTCAGACGGGCTGCTAATTACATTGCTGCGGGTACGTCATATGTGACGACTGTGGCTTGATATGATTTGACGCCGGGACGTTGTAGCGATGATCTTCTTGAAAGACGATGTATTGCTCGAGCGCGAGTTGACCTTCGATGACATTAAACCTCGTTTACTTGGTCACTGGGGAACGTGCCCCGGTCTTACACTCGTATACGCACACCTTAGCCGTATCATCAAGAAAACCAACCTAGACTCTCTCCTAGTCGTCGGACCTGGTAAGTATTACATTCTTCAGAGTGATTCCTGTGGAATCGTGCGCTCGACATACGAAAAACGCACGTACCAATGAGAATCTCATCCCTTGTACATACTCGTTACGCACTCTTGCGCTCATAATCATCGACAGGTCATGGCGCACCTGGCATTCTGTCTTGCCTTTGGCTAGAGGATTCGATATCGCCCTTCTATCCTTCGTATACGCGTGACAGAGCTGGTTTAACCAACCTTATTGGAAAGTTTAGCGCACCTGGTGGTTTCCCGAGGTAAGGATTTGGTACCAATACTTCGTCGTTGCACTTATCGTGTGTCCGTAGCCACATCAACGCCGAGACACCCGGATGCATTCACGAGGGAGGCGAACTCGGTTATGCGCTGTCCGTTGCCTTCGGCGCGGCGTTGGACAACCCGCATCTTGTCGTCACCTGCGTCGTTGGAGATGGCGAAGCGGAGACAGGGCCAACTGCTACAGCGTGGCACGGTTACAAGTTCATCGATCCAGCTGTATCTGGTGCTGTGCTTCCCATCGTGCACCTCAATGGCTTCAAGATCTCCAACCGTACCATATATGGGTGTATGGATGACAAAGAACTCGTCGCCTTGTTCTGGTGCGTCTTTGGGAATGCTGTTGCTCCTTCAGTACCTCACCTGCTTTACAGTGGCTATGGTTACCAGCCTCGTATTGTCGAGGACCTAGGGCAATATTGACAAGGACCTCGCCGCTTCCATGGAATGGGCTTTGAAAGAGATTGCTCGTATCCAACAAGCTGCACGCTCAGGGAAGCCAATTGTTAAGCCTCGCTGGCCTGTGATCATTTTGCGTACCCCGAAAGGGTGGACAGGTCCAAAGGAACTTCATGGCGAGTACATTGAGGGATCTTTCCGTTCTCATCAAATACCGCTCCCGGATGCGAAGACAGATGAGGGGGAGTTGAAAATGCTGGAATCCTGGTTGTCCAGCTACGACCCACGGCAACTTTTTTGCATCGGTGGTGACAAGGATACGCTCGACGGTGCACCCTATCCCGACCTGCTCCAAATCGTTCCCGACAACAGAGACAAACGACTGGGGATGAGGAAGGAGGCATATGCTGCTTATCAGCCGCTGAAGGTTCCAGTTTGGACACCCTTCTGCGTACAGAAGCGATCGCAGGCGAGTTGCATGAAGACGGTTGGTGAATTTCTCAAGCGTGTGATCGAAGAGTGGGTATCGTTCTTCCTTCCCCGAACATCTTGCACTAATTTATACCACAGCAATCCGACGAGATTCAGAATATTCTCACCTGACGAGTTGGAGTCGAATAAGCTTGGAGCTGTTCTCGAGGTAACGGGCCGTGACATGCAGTGGGACGCTGCAAGCCGCGCGCAAGACGGACGAGTCATCGAGATCCTCTCCGAGCATACTTGCGAAGGAATGTTACAAGGTTATACGCTTACCGGTAGGACGGGGTTGTTCCCCAGCTATGAGGCATTCTTGGGCATCGTATATACCATGATGGTCCAATATAGCAAATTCGCCAAAATGGTTAGTCCTCTCCTGATGTATCTATTTCAACCTTGATTTAATACGCACGCACAGGCGTTCGAAACGAAGTGGAGACAAGATATAGGCTCTATTAACTTCATCGAGACATCGACATGGGCGCGACAGGAGCACAATGGTTTCTCTCACCAGAATCCCGGCTTTATCGGTGCGGTTCTCAACTTGAAGGCTAAGATTGCCCGTGTCTACCTCCCTCCCGACGCGAATTGCTGGTTGTCCACGATGGCACACTGTCTGAGATCCAGGCAACTACATCAACCTCGTCGTTGGGAGCAAGCAGCCGACTTCAGTATGGCTAGATCCAGAAGAGGCAGACCGGGTACGTGATTGGATATATGGCATTACGCATTGCCGATGAGTCGTATTACAGCACTGCATCGCAGGAGCTTCTGTATGGAAGTTTGCGAGCGTTGATGAAGGAGTTGACCCTGACGTGTACGTCTTGCTATCTCCAGCAAGATCATTCACACAGCCCTCACTGGCATTTTTAGCGTACTCGTCGGCATCGGTACTGAGGTCACCTTTGAGGTTGTTGCAGCGGCGGCCCTCCTTCGCAAAGAAGTGCCCGACCTTCGCGTGCGCGTCGTGAATGTGACGGACCTGATGATTTTGGGTCCATTCGGTAGCCATCCGCATGCTCTGAGCGACGATGACTTCGATACGCTGTTCACAACGGATAGATCGATCATCATCAACTTCCATGGATATCCTCTTGATATTAGGGGATTGGTATTTGGTAGACCTGGAATCGAACGGATGGTGATTGAGGGGTAAGTTATCACCCGTGCCAAGCACATGGACGCGAAGTTCACAATCTTGGATAGGTATCGTGAGGAAGGGACAACTACAACTCCCTTCGACGTGAGTTGAACGCCGCGATCACCGTAGCGGGAATCTGACCTGGATACTCCGTGATATAGATGATGCTTTGCAACGGAACGTCAAGGTATCATCTGGCCGCAGCTGCTGTGCGTGCAGGGGCCCTTTTCAATAGCAAGGTCTCCTGTGTAGCACACCAGGTGGCAAGCTACCTCATGCACCGCGCTGCGAAGGACAAGGAGTTTATTTATACACACGGCCATGGTAAGGGTCATCTTACCCGTATTTGCGCGATGTACTGGACTAACTGAGCGACGCTTCAGATCCCGATGGCATGTTTGACACGCCCGTGTTTGAGAAGTAATTTATGAGTATGTAGTCAACCTGTAGCTACATTTCTACTAGTAGTCTGGCGTAGGTTACGTGTGTCTGTGCAGCTCAAACACGATCATGGGCGAAAACGAATTGTTACTATACTGTACAAAAGCGAAATCGAATCTCGTTGTGACGTGAATGCCTGGGACAAAAAAAGCGACAGGCCTGGGACTCGAACCCAGAATCTCTAGCGCCGGAAACTAGCGCGTTACCATTACGCCAACCCGCCGACGACGACGAAGGTCATCGAAGATAATTTGGTGACGCGACATATTTCTACCACGCCACTGCCGCCACCTCCCCAGTACAGAACGAAACACTCGAACTTGTCATTAGAAGCAGGCGTCATGGCGTTCTTTGGTGCTGCGTCGACATCGACGACGACTGCTGCAACACAGGAAAAGGACATCGAAGTCCCGAAATACCGACCGATTCCATCTCCTCGTTGGCCTTTTCACCTGCAGCGGATTACCTCGCAGTGGGGAGCTGGGACAACAACGTAAGTTCCAATTGCTCACTCCAAGCGTGCACGTCAGTCTTCTGAAACGAACGACTTTGTGCCTCCAAAGGTCCGTTTATACGAGGTCGGTGCCAATGGGCAGACACAGGGAAAGGCTATCTATGGGCATCAAGGTCCTGTGCTCAGCATATGCTGGAACAAGGTTCGTGTTGCAATGTTGGCACGAACAAGTGGAACCCATCTGATGCGACGCGTGTTGGGATATTAGGAGGGCAATAGGGCCATATCTGGAGGTGCTGACAATGCCGCGCGCATGTTTGACATTACGACTGGTCAGCCACAGCAAGTTGCTCAGCATGATGCTCCGATCAAAGTCGTCAAGTGGATAGAGACACCCCAAGGTGGGATCCTTGCCACGGGAAGCTGGGATAAGACGCTGAAGGTGCGTTTGGGACGTGCCGTTCCGTGAGCCTCCGTTGGCAATGTACTCACGCTGTCGTCGTGTTTGCGCGTGTAGTACTGGGATTTGAGAACTCCCAACCCCGTGGCTACTGTTCAGCTACCGGAACGGTGTTACACCATGGACGTCCAGTACCCCCTACTTGTCGTCGGCACGGCCGAGCGCCACATCCAAATATACAATTTAACAAATCCAACCTCCCCATACAAGGTAGTGCTATAGCTCTTTATCCGCTCGAATCCTGTTCTCATTTTCTATTTTCATTCCACAGACGATAACGTCTCCCCTTAAGTGGCAGACGCGTGTTGTCTCGTGCTTCACCAATTCTTCCAGCAGCGGGTTTGCAGTTGGCAGTATCGAAGGCCGCGTGGCCATTCAGTGCGTGGTCGCTCTCACACAAAGCGGATATAGAATGGGTGGTGGCTGACTTGGTTTTTCTTATCTTAGATACGTGGAAGACAAGGACAGCTCGTGAGCACTGGCAACTCCACCCTACATCAAAGTCTGGATATTAACGTGTGATGATGGATCCATAGAAACAACTTTTCGTTCAAGTGTCATCGCAAGGATCAAACCCCGTCTTCAAAAGATCAGTCTCTGGTGTACGCCGTCAACGATATCTCATTCCACCCTGTCCACTGGGACGTTTTCTACGTGTGGTCCGTTTTTATTTGGATATCTCGTGTCCCTTTCTTCTGGGACCTAACCCTTCACCCTAGGTTCTGACGGAAGCATTCATTATTGGGACAAGGACGCGCGAACGCGACTAAAATGTATTCTTACTTTTGCCTCCCACCTGGATCCGTTGCTGAGTATGTTCCATTATATCTAGCGTTCGAAACAGCACCTGCACCGATCACTGCAACGACTTTCAACCGTAACGGGACCATATTTGCCTACGCAATTTCGTACGACTGGTCCAAGGGCCACAGCGGAATGACGCCAGGTCACCCTAACAAATTGATGTTGCACGCTTGCAAAGAAGATGAGGTCAAGAGGCGACCAAAGAAGTAGTTGGTTGTAATACACTTTTAGGACACCGAAAGCATCTATTTTCTTGACAGAAAAGCACTGTCCATGCAAGTAGAAAAAGGAGCTCTTGTCGAGTACTGTGAGCTTGTGGCCCCATGTAACTTACTACCCCTATCTATGATCAACACTACGCGTCCGATCGAATCGCGATCGTTTCCCCTTGTTCGGCCCATGGAGCACTGTCAACTCAGACTTCTTAGATGGAGTGATCTACAATCTTCGCCACGTACATCTCACAGCCCAATATATTGAAACTATAATGATTACTAACATTATGGAACGCGTCAAGTACGTCCCTAGGTAGGACAAAGTGTGGTCATGATGCTTTCTTCACCTCGAGTAATGGGTCGAGAGACGATTCTGGTTGGCGATATGATCCGCCGACACGGTCTGCCCATGTGAAGTACTACGAGGGAAGTCAGCAGAGGCGATTTGGGGTGGCTGCGTCGTGCGTACCTGACCGTAGTTGACGGTAAAGTAAAGGTGATGCAGAGTGTGATGTGCAGGTCCATTAATGACGGACTCAAGCGGATGTCCGGTTATCATATCGGAGTCGTGGATCTGACAGCGGGAAGGGATCCGAGACGACGACGCCGTTGTTAATCAGTGTCCAAGACTAGAAGGGAAGGATAGGCGCAAGAAGCGACATACAAGTATGCTCCAGAAGTTGACGAAAACAAAGAGGCCAAGGTACAGATACCGGTGGAGAGGGAACAAGAAAATGAAGAGGTGGTACGGTACAGACTGGAGGTAACCATCTACCGGGTGGAATGCGTGGGATGCGAATGGTGTTGGTACTGTCATAACAAAAGGTTTTGGCCTCCAGTGGTATTATAGGTGCATGGAAACGTACTTATCCACTTATGATGTGGTTTATGGAATGTCTTGTAAATGCTGGGGTGATGCAGAATACGATGTACCCAGTAGATGGCATAGTCTGTGAAGAGAAGAAAGCTGTGGCGGGGGAAGTCGTCAAGAGAGCCTCCCCCGTAAGAGGAGGGGAAGGGGACGTACAATGGTACAGACAAGACGAGATAGGTCCAGCCGTATTGGTCGACGTTGTCGTAGAGTCTAGAGTAGCCCATGACCTCCGCTTGAAACCACGGAAGGGTTAGGAGGGTCATCATGGGGAATGCTTTTAAACTTGTTTGTATCTCGAGCTTGATTTGATTTTGTAAAAACCGTGGATGTCGCATCATGTCGTGGTTGAATATGAATTTGTATGAAAGACCGGCGAAGACGAAGTATAATAGGTGGATGCCGATCAATGTTATGACACTCAATGAGAGTATTTGCCTAAAGAAATAATCTCGGGGCCATGCCGACTGTGGAGACGATGCTATAGTTGTGAAATTAGAAGAGAGCTGTTGAAACCTTGACGATGATGGCATGACAGAGCCATGAGGTGGGACAAGATGAGCCCAGACACTGTCGAGAACGTACTCGTCGGCGAGGTATAGAACGATATCCATGGAGGGGGGGACTGACACCAACGATGACGCTGACGCGACGACCGGTGTGATTTTCTCTTTTTCCTCATAGCCGACCGTCCACTTTTTTATATTTGCCGATCGGGTTGAACATCAGGCCACTTTTTACAGTCCCGATTTCCTTTTTCCGATCAGATTAGATGACAAACCAGACCAGACGCGGATGCAATTCCCATATCCGGAAATTGCCCTCACATGGACATTTCCCACGCCGCGCCTTCAACCAAGTAGTTGGGAGCACACATGCCTTGGCATTTTATATGTAGATCCTTGTGTAAGGTCGAGGGTTCAATCCCCTGACTATCCGGATTTTTTTTTCTCATCCTATCTGCCGATCGTTCGCAGCAATAAAGTTGCAGTGCTGGTCAGAGGGCAAAGCGGGTGGATGCATCTCATTGATAGTGTCGTGTAGGGCGTGCGGCCGGATCACACGGACACCAGTGGACATGATGGATCGTCTGACCGGGCGCGACCGCTCGGAAATGGACTGGACATGTGAACGACACCGCCCAACCCAGGTCTCCCCACCACAGTATGTACCCGTCGTGATTATGCATGTACAGATAGAGTCACACAGCCCTGACAATGCTTGACGAGCGTTCGTTCCAATGGAATCCTGTGATACTGCACCAGAACTTGAGGAAGTTCTCGAAGTCGGCGTCGCTTCTGCTGATGCTATCTATCAACCTATTAGAACCAACCTTTACGGTCTTGAACACCACCACTCTGACTCCACTGGTTTGACCGTTAAAGGACTCAAATTTGGTCAGATCGTGCTCGAGCCTCACGGCCGTCGTCGTACAGCCTTTTTTAAACGGCGTCGAGTGCAGTGTACCTCAACAAGGTCGCGATCGGTGGTTCACATGCCAATGCTCCTCCGCCCGCGTCGCCTGCGCACGATGAATTGCAGACTTCCGATAACGCCCGGCCGAAGGAAAGAAATGGGATCCATGCTTCTCTGCAGGGCCCTACCTCAAGGTGGGTCCACAAGCGCGTGGATCCAATGTGATGCGAACGCTGTAAAAACGTGTTGCTTCACCTCTACTATCTGTTTAATCTCGGTACCTTGAACTACTCGTCCACCTCGAGCTCCACGTCTGGTTTCTTCCCATTCTTACTGGGTGCTTCAAGCTCATCACCATGGGTCAACGCATTGCACGTATCCTTGCTCGCATTCCCTGCTTCTCAGACCATGTCTTCCACGACGAGGAGCCCAAGAATATCAAAGAGACAAAGGAAACAAAGGACGGCAGCGTCGCTGCATCATCGCCTATTGATCCCAATACAACAGTCTACGTTGTGTACGTCTTATTGATTCTCGTCATACTCGTCGAGACAGACATTCTTATCACTTCCCCATCAGGGTCATGGGACCCACCGGCAGCGGCAAGACAACGGTATGCCCCTCACGCCGTCACCCTCGCACTCCACGCTCACCATAAGACCCCACTACCTAGTTCATCAACTTGGCTTCTGGATCCGAACTCAGAACCGGCTCGGGGCTGGAGAGCTGCACTAATGAGGTGCAGACGTCTTTGCCATTCAAAGTCGGGGGGAAACAGGTTGTTGTCCTTGACACTCCTGGATTCGACGACACGACAATGACGGACACCGATGTGTTGAAAATCATTTCTGCTTACCTTGTCGCCATGTTTGTTCCACATTTCCCCCCCGCTCACCTATCTGTGTTTGACTCACTTTGTTGCAGGAACAAACAGGGCGCACGCCTTGTCGGCGTAATTTACATGCAGAGAATCTCCGACCTGAAGATAGGAGGTTCGGCCCGTCGCGATTTGAGAATGTTTCAGGAGCTTTGTGGAGAAGAAGCCTATGAGAACGTCATCGTCGTCACGAATATGTGGGGCACCGTCTCCGAGGAAGACGGAATTGCTCGCGAGGGAGAACTTGCCTCCAAGGACATATTCTACAAGCCCATCCTCGACAGAAAAGGCAGAATGATGCGCCATGACAATACCCAAAAATCCGCTCACCGTATCCTCGAGGAACTGGTTCAGAAGGAGCCTATCGTGCTCCGCATCCAGCGAGAGCTAGCAGAGGGATGTTGATATAACACAGACAGCTGCATTCAGGCAACTCGATCGTGAACTGTCAGAGTTGGCCGCACAACACCAGCAGGAACTGGCGAAGCTGAAGGACGAGATGGCCCAAGCTGAACAAGAGATGGACGAGGAGACCCAGAAAGAACTAGCTGAAGAGAAACAGAAGGTTGAAGACGACCTGCGGAAAGCCCAAACACAAGCTTCAAGGCTCGCGTCCGACTACCAGGCAGAATTACGCAGGATTGAGGAGAAACTTCACGTAAGGGAGGTCTGATAGAACCACTGCCGGGCTTTATACTGGTACTCCTACACTTAGTTCATTGGTATGGTCTCCGCTATGTAATGTCTTCTTGACGACTTTCGACGGTTCTTGGCTTATCTGTATGTACTGATCTAAGATTGTCAGTCATGTTTTTTGACCATTCACTTCATCCGCGGGCTGGACCTACTAAAACTAGACACAATACTTGAAACATATATGTTTCAAGTGACTAAAAGGGACATCTATTAACCTATGGACGCATCTAGACTAGAGTAACGAGGTAACATCGTGGTGTCGTTGAGATCCGCTGATCTATGAAGCAATAGTTCGTGGTAGCCGTGCCGCTGGGGTTGCGTAACTGCCAGATAAATGCGTTGAGGTGGGGAGCCACGAGGCCAAGGTGAGTTTTGGAGCAACACGGAATGGATACACGGTGTTACTTTATACGGATGGATATAAGCGCGCAGTGGGTAAATCTGCGACGACCTCGTATGCCCGCTAGTCCTCAGAAGAGAACCCCCCTATCGTATACCTACGAAGAGGTCATCAGGATGGCTTCCAAAGATAAGGAAATTAGAATTGCGTGCGTCGGCATTGTGTTTCCGAAACCATACTCCCCGCTGACCTTGGTCACACAGGGTGATGGGAGCCACCGGAAGTGGGAAAACAACGGTGAGTTCCAGTCCGAGAATCATACATCCCCAGTCGCGGATATTGATTGATGGCGAAAACGTGTAGTTTATCAATCGCGCTAGTGGGTCTGACTTCCCCGTCGAGGGTGGTCTTGAGAGTTGCACGACAGACGTGGGGACCTCGAACCCATTCCTTCTCGACGGTCGGTTTGTCACCTTGATAGATACACCAGGATTCGATGATACGGTTCGCAATGACACCGACGTGCTGACTTCTATTGCTGCTTACCTGTCTAACACGTGAGTTAAGTTGCTTGGCACTGGTGGTATTTTGATCCCTTGACAAGGAAAGTCGTCCCCCTACACAGGTATGAACAGGGTACCAAGCTCGCAGGCATCATTTACATGCACCGTATCTCGGACGTTCGAATGAGCGGCACTTCTAAGCGCAACTTCCGCATTTTCCGCGAACTCTGCGGAGAGAGTACGCTCAGCAACGTCCTGATCGTCACAAACATGTGGGGAAACGTGGACCCCAGGATTGGGGAAGAACGAGAACGAGAACTTGCAACAAACGATAAGCTATTTAGGCCTGTCCTCGAAAAGGGTGCTCGGCTGCTCCGCCATGACAATACTGAGGCTTCTGCCCGTGCCGTCCTCCGTAACTTGATCAATAATCAAGCAGCTGCCCTTGCTATCCAGCACGAGATAGTCGAGGAACGCAAGGATCTCGCTCACACTGCCGCTGGGGCTGAGTTGACTCGCCTACTGAAAGAACAAGTGGAGCGGTACGACGAGGAAGTCAGGAAATTGCGCGAAGAGCTAGAACTTGCGACACATGCCAAGGACGAAGCACGCAAGGAGCTCCAAGAAGAGATGGAAAGGAAGCGTGAGGAGATTGAGCGCATTCAACGTGATGTCGGACGAATGGCGACGGATTTCATGGCCGAAAAAACGCGACTAGAGGACAAAATAGCGGAGATGGAGGCCGAAAACCGCCGGCATTTGGCCCATCTGCGGGACTTGCAGGACCAAGTGGATAACGCCCGTAAAGAAGTGGAGAGCATGCAAATAGAGCATGCCCGACGCGAGAGTGAGCTACTTGCGGTGCAGAGGGAGGAAGCTGAGCGCAAGGCTCGCCTTCTGGAAGAAGAGCGGCTTGCAAGGGAGCAGCAGGTCGAAGCGCAGTACCGCGAAGAGATCAGCAAAGTGCAGGAAAAGGGGGCGGCGACAGACGTGAAGCGAACTCCAGAACAGATGGTGCACGGGGAAGCGGCAAATGAGCCGCATGCGACCATCGGAGGAGAGGATGAAGACACAAAAAATTTCGCAGAAGACGTCGCCTTCTTGATAGACTTCGTGACCAAAACTTTCTTGCCAAGGTCGATTGAGACCCGGCTCAAATCCTTGATGGCGCAAGCAGCTCGAACAGCTAGGGAGTCAACAACTTCCGGTCATAAATTTGTTAGCACGTACCTTTCGCGTTAGTTATATGTATCATTAATATATTCTATCATTTACCTTGACAAAGTATGGGCCTGTGGGGGGGAGCTGCAATTCGTGATGAGGGCTATTAAACGCAGTTGTACAATAATTCTGTCAGAGTCAAAAGAAAAGAATCTACGTACGACTCCCAAATCCCAAAACGTGGCGTTCAACTAGCTTGGGTGGGACGGCAAAATGATAGGGAACTATGAGGCAAAATAGAGAAAAAGATGGATAGTCAGGGGATTGAACCCTGGACCTTATACAAATGCTGCGAATGCAAAGCATACGCGCTACCACTGCGCTAACTACCCATGCACGTTATCGGATCAATAGTCCTTATCAGCCTGTGGTCACCTCAAGCTAGTCGGCGTTGCTCGGTACCAAGGATGTTTGCTAGATCTGTACACTGAGGGAAGCAGATCAGGTATTCTCCAAAGGTATTCGTGCACTCCTTTTTGACCGTGGCACCTAAACAGCCGGTCCCAGAAATTGAAATTGCATGTGGTCAAGAGTAAAGAGGTGCCAAAATCGCTCACTAGAACAATTAGGCACCAGGAATGGTACCTAGCTTCCACACCACACTTCATTCAGTGAGTGCAACGGGCAATGCAGAAATGAATAGAATCTCCCAAAGGATCAGGTGTACCCCGCAATTCCGTATGCTGTGTTTGCTGTACCTGGAACACTCCAGAGCGGTGGCGAATTGGGACGGACACAGCATGGTATACTTGAATCGGAGATCACTGGGAAAACGCGATCAGAGCACTTGAGGTCGATACAAAAATAGCCACATTCATAGGGTTGTACAATGCGACTACCTGTGGGCGTCCCCGTAACCAAGATCCAGGCGCATGAAGCTGTGAACATGCAGGTTATGCGTGGGCGGACATGTATAAACACGCACCAGAAGCCTCGAGACATTCTGACAAGTAACCATGACTCTACTCAACAACTTAAGTCAGCCTTGGTCGTTCGCTGACATGGCTTCCCAGGGCAGAGAGTCTAGAGTCATGTGCGTTGATTGCCAGTTCCTCCATTCCGCCTAGCTGATTTTGCTACCCTAGTATCATGGGATCTACCGGGGCTGGCAAATCGGAGGTGCATATTCTGCAGCCTGTGGAGTCATGGACTGACCGGAATACTGAATTCAAAGTTCGCTAACTGCGCCAGCGGGTCGTCTGACTTTTTGGTTGGTCGTAGCCTTTCAAGTTGCACGACCGAAGTATGCACGTCGAAGCCATTCCCAGTGGATGGGAAGATAGTCACGGTAATTGACACGCCAGGGTTCGACGACACTCGACGTGGCGACGCAGGAGTCTTGTCCTCTATTGCAGCCTATTTGTCCAAGTCGTAAGTGGCAAGACACAATGCATGTTAGACTACTCGACTGAGGGTGAGCACGTAGGTATGAACAAGGCATCAAACTAACAGGGGTCATATTTTTGTGTCGGATTACGGATATCCGCATGGCCGGTACAGCGCAACGCACCTTCCGTATCTTCCGCGAACTCTGCGGAGAAAGCACATTCGGGCATGTTCTCATCGTCACTAACATGTGGGAAAAAGAGAAACTCGAAGTCGGTGAGAGGAGAGAGCAGGAGCTTTCGACCAAGTATTTCAAACCTGTGCTTGACAGGGGCGCTCGCATGGTTCGCCACGACGGAACGCGGGCATCGGCCCTCAATATCCTTCGACATCTCCTTGACAACGATGCAACTGCCCTCACCATACAACAAGAAATCGTAGATGAGCACAAGCAGCTCGCCAATACTGCTGCAGGGAAGGAACTAACGAGTGCACTGAGGGAGCAAGCTCAGAATCATGATGAAGAACTCCGGATTCTGCGCGCAGAATTGGAAGCAGCAATGAAGGCTAGGGATGAGGAGACACGACGGGAAGTGCAGGAAGAGCTCGAAAAGAAGCGGGAAGAGCTCGCCCGTATCAAGCGAGATGTGGAGAGTATGACAGAGAGGTTCGCCTCTGATAAAACCAGGCTCGAGTCAAGAATCGCGGAAACAGAAGCGGTCAATCGCCAACACGTTGAACGATTGCAGGACATGCAAAACCTAGTCAGCCAGGCTCTCCTGCAAATGACGAAATTTCAGGCGGAGGCTGTTCAGCCAAAGGAAGCAGAAGAGCGTCAGGCTCGCATACTAGCAGAGGAGCGCCTTGCGAATATGCTAGCCAACATGAAACATCGCGAGGAACTCCAGACTATCCAAACCGAGATGAATAAGCGTCTGTGCGCTCTCCAGGACGAGATTTCCAGGATGAAATTGGGGAGGAAGGGTGACGAACAATGCCAGGCCGATCCAGAAGCAACCGAGACTTGTGCTAGCAGGCAGACAAGGGGCCGGGACACCGACCAGAGGGAGAGGGATGAAGAAAGAATAGCTAGACTGGCTCACCTCGTCAACATGATAGTCGGATTCGTCATAACTAAGTGGACTAAGGGCCCAACGAACCCAGCCATCCCAAAAATGTGTTAGCGATCATCGATCATCTTTGTTCATCGTTCCGTAGACTATGAATGTAGCCGTTACCTAAGTATACTTCGACGGAAAGACTTGAAGCTTTGGCTGCCCGTTACTGAGAAAACTTCAAATTACATAAATAAATCTACGTTTGCGTAGTGTCAATTTCTATCTTTGGGCGATGTTTGATACATAGTTTGTTTCTCGCCGCTGCGATATCGGTGTCAGTAGATCTATGCAATACAGTGAGTGCACCGCATCAAGGATGAAAAGATGGTCGAACGCCACCTTATAACCTCTCGGCTTCTCCATTGCAGGCTGCTGTACGACAGGATACAACGGAATCCGACTCAGAGGTGAGAAGTGTTGCACTTATGTGAAGCGACCATTGCCTCCGAATCGTCTGAACTCTGAATGGTGTTTCCTAATGGCTTTGTACGAAGCGCCACCCACAAACGTGTAAGCGCAAGTTGGTCACCATCGGTTGTTTCGTCCCTGCAACGAGGAGGATCTTGCGTTGGAAATGTCTGGTAAGAACGGGGACGCAAGGAAGAACAAGCAACAACCACAGCAGCAAGGTAGCCAGCCAAAATCAAATGCCTTCGGGTTCGGAGGTAAGCACAAGTCATCACTTAGTATCTTACACGAGTATGGTTCCCATTTGACCTGTGAATCCATCTGAAGCAGCTTTCGGCTCAACTAGCACCTTTGGCCAGCCCCAGCAACCGCAGTCAGCAAATCCAATGTTCGGAAACCTAGGGGCTCCTAGCACCAGTACGTCTACTTTTGGTGGGTTTCATGATCTTTGTTTCTCTCTTCCCGTGCTGACCATCTCTTTACAGGTCTATTTGCTCAAAACACGAAACCAGAGACGACGACCTCTACTTTTGGTGTCCCCAAGCCTGCAACGGGCTTTGGCGCGTTTGGTGGATGTACTACTACATTCGGTGAAGGTACAAGTGCCTTCGGTTTCACAGGAAACGGTCTTCTCGGATCGACTACCAACACTGGTGGCACATTCGGCAGCGGTGGAAAGCCCGATGGTGGAAACAACCCTGCAACGTCTCTCTGGGGAAGAAATTTAGGTAAGTCTAACCACCAGTAATCTAGCATTACATATATGTCAAACTCACCCTTGGTGTTACCCTGGTACAGCAGCACCAATCACCACTGGCACTGCTTCACCGCCGTTCAGTGTCTACAGCGAGAAAGATCCTGCAAGCAGTGTTCCTCTCCAGTACCAAACTATTTCTGCAATGCAAACTTACCGGAGTACATCGATAGAGGTGCATCTTACCCTGGTTCATTATGTTCGTTCTGGAGTGTCTAATGTCACATTGTAGGAGTTGCGCGTTCAAGACTATCAGCAAGGCCGAACAGGTGCATCTGGCAAATTACCTTTCGGCTTCGGGGCACCCACCACCCAGCCGACCGGAACTTTTGGTACAGCTAGCACTCAACAACCTAATACTTCTCCCATCTTCGAATTCGGGAAGGGGAGGGAATACTTCAAGGCCCCACATGACAGGAGTGCCCGAATATTTCGCCACGATGGAACGCGGGCATCGGCCCTCAATATTATCTCCCATCTACTCGACAATGATTCAATCTCCATCACGGATGAGCATGAGAAGTTTGCTTATACTGCTGCCGGCGAGGGACCAGGGAGTGCGTTGAGAGAACAAGGCTCAGAGTCATGATGAAAAACTCCGAAGTCTACGGGCAGAAATGGAAGCAGAGATGAAGGCTAAGGACGAGACACGGACAAGAAGTGCAGGAAGAGCTCGCAAAGAAGCGGGAAGAGCTCGCGCGTATCAAGCAAGATGTTGAGCGTATGACGGAGAAGTTCGTCTCTGAGAAAGCACGGCTCGAGTCGAGAATCGCAGAAATGGAAGCAACCAACCGCCAACATGTGGAGCGATTGCAGGACATGCAAAGTCAAGTCAGCCAGGCCCTCCTTCAAGTGATGAAGTCTCAGACCGAGACTGCTCGGCAGAAGGAGCAAGAAGAGCGTCAGGCCCGCATACTAGCAGAGGAACGCCTTGTGAATGTGCTAACCCGCATGAAAAATCACGAGGAATTACAGGCTGTCCAAACCGAGATGAATGATCGCCTACACGCTCTCCAAGACAAGATGTCCAGCATAATGTTAGAGAAAAAGGCTGACGGTCAGCACCAGACCGACCCTGAGGCAACCAAAACCTCCACTAATGGGCAGGCGAAGGATGGGGAAATGAACCGGAAGGGAAAGGGGTGGGCAAAAGGAGAATGAATTACTATGGACTGGCTGTTATCCTCAGTATGACAGTCGCGTTCGTCGTGACTAGGGCCCTGCAAGCCCAACCGTCGGACAAGTGTGTTAGTAATCGTCTTGTTCATTGCTATGTAGGCGCGGCGAACTACGTGCTGTGCCTTCCACTTGTTGAAGCTGCAGCATTCAACACTTGGAAAAGGGGGCTGCATAGAGTACCCATGAACATTAGTAAGCATCCTCCTGTGAATTGGACGATGGTAAAGGGCGTGTTTTCCGAGCGGCGTACAGCCACAGACTGCGATTTAATGTCTCAATACGAGGGGACAGCGGTGTCAGTAGCTCCATCTAACACAGTGCTTTAAGGGCGCGAAATGGAACACCTCCTGGTAACGGTTCGGCTTCCCCATTGCAGGTTCGTCAATCCAACTACGGCAGGATGACACAATGGAATTGAAAGGTAAGAAATACTGCATGATATTAAGCGACCACAAGTTCAAGTCAAACGTAAAATGCTGGGCTTCCCTCGTAAGAAACTGCTCCGACTTCCCTCCTCAGCTGGAGGAGGCACTGTTATGGGGGTATAGTCCGATCAGGACACGTTGAGACGGTGTTTCCCAGTAGCGTGGTGGTGCCACTGGGAAACGTGGGAGGGTTGCCCATCGCCAGGCGCGACGGTGATTCAAGACCTAGCCCAAGCCTTGCGCAAGGGTGAAATGTGCAAACAGCGAGGGAGAAGAGAGGAGATATAAACAACCCAGCGGTGACCTGCGCACTCTCCAGCGAACCACTTGCAAGATCTCTCTGTTTCTCTCTCAGGCTGCAAACGACCTGTCTAACCGTCATCCACTACGACTGACACCAACGTCATACACAAGTTCTGTCAACATGTCATTTCGGGGGAAAGAAATTAGGATCGCGTGCGTATATTGGCGCCGTCGACTACCTCATGTCTGACAGAACCCCACGCAGCGTTATGGGCGCTACTGGAAGTGGGAAATCGACAGTAAGTACCCCTGGAAACAATTATTTACCAGTAGACGCTGACCCATATCATACCTAGTTCATCAATTGTGCCAGCGGGTCGGATCTCCCTGTAGGAAAGGGACTCGAAAGTTGCACGGTAGACGTGAGGACGTCGAAACCGTTCCTCCTGAACGGGAAAATAGTCACGCTGATTGATACACCTGGCTTCGACGATACCACTCGAAGCGACACGGACATATTGTCATCCATCGCCGCGTATCTCTCCAACACGTGAGTACCGTGTCGCGACCATGATGCAAGGATAGTCTGCTAACACGATGACATCGCAGGTACGAGCATGGGGCTAAGCTCGCGGGCGTGATCTACATGCACCGCATCTCCGACTTTCGTATGGGTGGAACATCCAAACGGAACTTCCGTATCTTCCGCGAGCTCTGCGGAGACAACACGCTTAAGAATGTCATTATCGTCACCAATATGTGGGGAAACGTTGACCAGAAACTCGGTGAGGCCAGGGAGAAAGAGCTCACCACCAATGACAAGTTCTTCAAGCCCGTGCTGGAAAAGGGCGCTCGCATGATGCGTCACCACGGCACTCAGGCCTCCGCTCATACCATCCTCCGATACTTGGTCAATAGCCAAGCGGCCACGCTCGCGATTCAACATGAACTCGTCAATGAACGCAGGGATCTTGCGCACACTGCTGCCGGCGCTGAGCTCGCTCGTGCCCTCAAAGACCAAGCAAACCGGCATGACGAGGAGCTGAAGAAACTACGTTCGGAGATGGAGGCTGCCATGCGTTCCAAGGACGAGGAGACTCGCCAAGAGCTCCAGGAAGAAGTAGACAAGAAGAGAGAGGAGATCGAGCGCGTCAAGCATGATGCCGAGCGTATGGCAGAGGCCTTCAATGCCGAGAAAGCGAGACTTGTGGCCAAGATTGCTGAGATGGAAAAAGAGAACTCTGCCCACATCGAGCGTATGCAGGGTCTGCAGGGGAAAATCGAGAAGGCCCATGAACAGATAGAGGTTACACGACGGGAGCATGTTCGACGCCAGACTGAAATAATCGAGGCCCACAAAGAGGAGGACGAGCGCAAGGCTCGTTTGCTAGAAGAGGAGCGCCTGGCCAGAGAGCGCGCTGAGACCCAGCATCGCGAACACGTCCTCAAGCTTCAGGAGGAGATGGCGAATGCAGAAAAAGAGAAGAGAAGGCTTGAAGCTGAGCAAATGCAGAAGATCAAGGCCGAGCAAGAGAGAGCAGCCGCGCTTGCGGCGGAACTCGAGAAGCAGACCAAGATCCGAGCAGAGGAAGAGAGGGTTAGGCGGCAGAAGGAGGAGGAAGATAAGGCTCAGCTGCAGGAGGAGATCGCCAAAGCCCAGGAGGAAATGAAGCGGATCGCAGAAGAGCAGTCTCGCAAGGATCGCGAGGCCGCTGCTGCCAAGAAAACCCAAGAGGATGCTCTCGACCAGCTGAGGGAACAGCAACGACTAGCAGCCGAACGGGAGAAAGAGGAGCATAAGCGACGGGTGACCGAGGAGGTGGAACGGGCAACGCGCGCATTGCAAGAAGAGCAAGCAAAGATAGAGAAAGAGAATGCCGCACGCAAGCAAGCAGAGGAAGCTCACATTCGAGAACAAGAGGATCAGTTGGCGAAATTGCGCGAGGAAGAAACGCGGAAGACTGAAACTCGAAGAAGAGCTCCACCGACAGCGGAAGGCCCAAGATGAGGTTCTTCTCAAGGCTGAACAAGCTCGTCTGGCGAGCGAAAGTGCCGCAGCTACGCGAGCTGTAGAGGAGGCGCAAGCCCGAATTGCGGAAGAGCGTAGGATCGCTCTGGAGCGCGAGGAAGCCCAGAGAAAGCAGTATGAGGAAGAGGTGCAGAGAGTGCGTCGGAGTATGGAAGAAAAGCTGTTACAGCAGGAGCGCGAAGCGGCGGCAGCCAGACGCGAAAAGGAGGAAGCTCGTGCTCGGGAGGTTGAAGCCCAGGAGAAGGCAATACGGTTGGTCGAAGAGCAGCGCAAGAGGGAAGCTGAGGAACAGTTTACTCGCCTGCAAAGCCAAATCGCAGAAGCGGAAGCACTACGCAAACAACTGGCAGCAGATATCGCTGAACGGGAAGCTGCCGAACGCAAGAGAAACGCTGAGCTACAAGCCGAGTTGGCGGAGGCAAGAAGGGAGGCGGAGAGTGCAAGAACGGCTCTGAGAAACAAGGAGCCTTCGCCTTCGCAAAGCTTCTCACTCCCGATACCTTTCGTAGTCTGGAGAGCGGCGATGGCCTGGCTTGGCGGGAGATAGGGTGACCGCCGCCTACCTTTGTATCCTGCATATAGCATGATTTTCAGGTTGTCTCCTGTTATAATGTAAAGGATTTTTTGACGTTGGCTTACCAATATATATTCGTATCCATGTATAATGTATCTGATCGACGACGTTTCCCGCGGGATGGTGCTAACACATGGAGTGTTTTGTACCAGATATTATCCGAACGAATCCTCTTGTCGAGAACGTGGCATACCCAGAAATACAACATCATAGGGGAGATGAATGTTTCCCTGTGCGAAGTCGTGCGCAGTGCCGCAGACATCTGCTTCGTAAGTTTGGGAGGTTGCAGAAGTGGGATCACACAAGTTAGGTGTCATTGCACCTACCCAGATAGGAACGGGATTTAACCTGACTGGTATCAAGAGTGTACGGCAAGGTGCAAAAAGCTCACTCACCGGGCGATAAATAACTACACTGTTTTCTGTTGATGTTTAGTAGTTGGTCGTATGAAGATCCAGGTCCTCGCAATCTTCGACCTTGCGATTCAAAGCCGATACAACAAGCGACCCATTTCTTTTCTATTACGTTTGCGCTGTAGGACACTAAAGCTGGTAGTCCTGAGGCCGGAGGGAAGGGAGAGGATCATTTGACATAGCAGACCAATTAGGACAACGTCCAGGCTCCGGCAAGAGATCTGAATTCGACAACTCGGGATATTTGAGACCATCATACACTGCTCGCAGAACATACTTCAGGTACAAAAAAACATGCTCGCTCAACCATTAATATTCGACAACATGGGATATATATGTAAAACTATCATACACCGCTCGCAGCACATACTTCAAGTACAAAAAAACTATCTTCTCACCAAAACCCCTCGATGATCGAACATTCTCTTGCCATCTCCCCCTGTTCGTCCGTCCGACACACTAGGACCTTCTTTCCAGCCTGACCACCATTTCCGATATCCACAACGACACCCTCCCTGCTGTCCGCCCCTCTATTTGCCCCTTCGTCCAAGGCAACAAAGCCCAGACATCTCACAGCCTCGCCCACCTTGCTTCTCAACTCGACACTATGTTCGCCAACGCCCCCAGCAAAGACGAGCGCGTGGATATCGCCACGCAGCGCAAGATAGTACGCGCCGACAAAGTGCAGGATGCGATCTAGAAGGAGGTTGAACGCGAGCTTGTACTTGTCGTCGTCTGATTTCTCGAGAGCTGACCGAGGGAACGCTTTACGAACGATCTCCCCGAAATCGGTCGTACCTGCCAAAGCTTTCCATCCCATCTGCGTGTTCAAAATCCTCTCCGCCTGCCCAGTGTGTGCGTCAGCTTTTGACCTATTTTCTTGGACAGAAAGCAACTACTCACGTCACTGATATGGACCTCCGTTGCTACGCCCTCCTTATGACTCAAGATTTCTCCACCGTTCTCTTTCACATCTAGCGGTGACTGACTTGTGTAGTGGAATATCAAACTAGGGTCGATATCTCCTGCACGCGTCGCGCCAGGGAGACCGCTCAGTGGCGTGAGCCCCATCGACGTATCAGTCGATTTGCCACCACGAATTGCACACGCGGACGCCCCGGATCCGATATGCAGTGCGATAATGTTGAGCTTGGTAGGATCCTGTACACACCAGTTAGAAATTGTGACTGCAAAGAGTCGACCAACGCACCTCTCCGAGATACTGAGCGACAGATCGCGTGATAAATGCATCTGTTTTCGAGTCCAGTCAACATGACAATCCCCACACAATGATTCCACAGGTCGAGCTGTGGCCAAACTAAAAAAAACGCTTACAGCTCAGCCCATGGAACCCATACTTTCTCAAACCCCGCTTCCTTGCAACATTCTGATCGATCGCATACGCAGCTACATGGGGAGGTAGATGCTTGTGGAACGCTGTATCGAAGAAGGCGATCGATCGTGAGTTCGGGAGGACCGTAATGGCTGCATGGATCACCCGGAGAGCTGCACCGTTATGTCTACACGCAGGTCCTAATTAAGCTGCGTAAACTCGCAAGACTAAAGTCACTGCTTACAGCGGTGCAAGATCCGACAAGCGTTCGATATGGTGGTAAGTTTGTTCCGTGATGACGACTGGCTCGACGTAGTTGCCCCCATGGACGACACGGTGACATACATTACGGATCTGCCCAAGCTCGAGATTGACTCTGTCCTTGCCCACTGCTTGCGTGGCTTGCTTGAGATCCTCGGCGTACCGAGCGAGTTTATCTATGAAGTGCCCAAATGCGGATTCGTGGTCTCGGAGGTCCGCCTCCGCAGATTCCTTGTGGCCAGAGTTCGTCAACTCCGACCCTGGAACGTCCACAATTTTGAAGGTGAACTTGGCTGGAGGCGACGAGATTGATGATGTCGATGACGTCAGAACAAGGCGCGGCGGGTCGTTCACCTGCCGTTGGAAAAGAGATATTTTGAGGGAAGAAGAGCCGGCGTTGACCGCCAGGATGAGAGACATGACTTCGCTGTTGACCCTGCTGGGCGATGCCAAGTGGTCAATTTGTAGCACGATGATATCCCGAACCAGCTATGGCGCAGCCTGTTACCACAAATTAGTCGCCCCTGTCGAGTCTCGACCAACAAGTAAAACCTCCGTACCTATATCGGTTTCACTGGCTCTGCTTCTCAGCCAAGTCAGTCGATCCAGGCAAATCTAGACAATTGGGCGGGATTGATATAGTCTAGAATGTCTACAAAATCCTCACTACAGAAATACCAACGTTTTGAGCCTTCCATCTTGTGAGCGTAACAACGGTCCTGCTTTTCATGAGGGTCAAGTCGTGGTAAATACCAAGGCATCAAAGGAGGCGACCAGTGTCAGGTCAACGTAGGCCTATTAGAAAGGCCTACGAGACAGCTGTGGAAGGGCAAACATAATACAGGAAATCCAAGCAATACGGGACGATATGAACACAGAAAGCACTTAATTACTCGAAGATGCGTACGCATATTCGAAGGCGAAGAAAGCAAGTCAGAACATGATGAAGGCAAAAACGGAGAACGAGCAGAACAAAGCACCGAACCGAAGGAAGAGAGTAATGTCTTTACGTCATTTGTTTTCCTTCAAGGTACGAAACGACTGTTCGTTCTTTTTTTCTCCAAATTCGATGCCACGAGTCCTCCTGGTGGTCGTCTTCTCGTCCATCAATCCCAACCCACCGTAGCTGCCACCCCTCCTACCCATTTCACCTGGTGCCTCTGCATTTCTCAAGGCAGCACTCTCGCCGATGCCAGATTTGTTCTGCGGAACGGCATGGGCGCTTGTAGTATGAGGGTGGGGAAGGGTCGAACTCGTAGAGCTGTGTTTACCCTCTGGATTCGGGGGTCCATCCGCGAGCGGGTAGTTGGCGTAGGGCGCAGTAGTGGGGTAAGCACCATAGGGAACCTCGTATGCAGTGTTTAAAGGGTCGGGCTCGGATACGACATACATACGCGTTCCGGAAGAAGAAATGTGTGGTTCAGAGGTGTAATGATCTTCCTGTTTCTCGTACGACGATAAGGGCGCGCTTATTGGTGAGAGCGTCGCAGATGGAGCTGGAGCAGATGTCAGGGGGCTCTCGGTTGCTTTGAGTGCAACGAAGGGCGAATGGAATGCGCGCAGGGAGGATGGCTGACGGTGGCAGGTCACCCTAAAAGCTCTGGCTGCAGCGATGGAAGACATGACCATGATTGTCCGCTGGCAGAATGGGTCGATTGCGGGTCTGTCTATTTAAGTTTCTGAGTGCGGGGATAAATTACCCGTGGGAACCATGTCGTAACCCGTAACCGTAATACGTTAATTCCCGTTTCAGTTCCACCCCAAAGATCTGGACTCTCCGAACAGGTGTATCGCAGTACGGCTCCACAGTTCTCTCAGGGGTATTACAGAGTCTCCGCAGTAAACGAAGACAAAAGGTCCTGGGCACAGGATTCGCATGTACAGCGCTTCAGCTTCAGCCACTATCAGATACTGCACTTGCAGGTCGGCACCATCCGCACATCAAACTCTATACTCATTCCAAAATTTTACTCAGTGTCTCATCCCTGCATAATAACAACGTGCCTGGACGCAACTTACCCCAGAAAAAAGAACAGCAGTAATGCTTTGTAGACGAAGGCGGCAGCTGTAGTACGTACGCCTAGTGTGGGATGTTCAATCAGCATCAGGACCCCAATCCCTTATCTTATCTTAAAATATCACTTCTATCTGTCCGGCATGCACAATGCCGTCTGCGGTCCCATGGAAATCGTAAGAAATAAAAATAGGAAGAGACATTGTCACCCTCGTATTAAGTATCTGTACCTTGCGACTAGGCGATTCAATGCATTTCGTGGTAGTCCTTTACGTGGCTATTGAATAGAAGGATGCTGTCAATAAGGAACCTCTTGTGACTCTAGACGGCATGCACGACAGGTGTGTTTGTTCCCATCATTCTGCGGAGTTGTTGTCATGCATCAAGACTGACAGTATTATCTCAACTCACCGTCACAATTAACCCCAACACGAATGTAGGAGATGTAATCCAAACACAAGGGTAGTGCGGCTAGTACTATCTTTGCTTTGCTTGCGTCACACGTCAAAGCGTGGCTGCTAGTATGACGCCATTCAACTCTGAAGAGTTGATAACAAAAACGCAGCAGGGGGAGAAGCCATCGTGCAATCTGGTGCACGTGCCCACGCATGTCATAGTGGAGAAAGGGAATCGAATGCTGAGTGAACATTGCACGAAAAAGTTATTTCCGTTTAGTACACGGGGTTCCTGCAACAAGTCCGAGAAGTCAAGTTTCTCGTTTCTGGAGTCCAAGAACATTGCACGGAGGGTAATGAGCCGGTTCAGCCTCCCATACGTAGACGATAAAGCGCATGTTCAACTCTGGAGTACTAAGGTTTGGCCAAGACACTGCCCATACTTGTTGCAGCGTGTCGGCTTCCTTCCCTACTGGCCAACCGTACATACGCAGAGGTGCTTCCGCACACACGCAGAGCGGTGCTTCTTTGGCCCCTCGCTTCTCGGAGTGGCGCAACGAGCACTGGAGTCACTCACGTACCCAATTTGCCTGTATATCGTATCTTCAGTATATAGAGAGGTACGCGCCTTTCGGGTCAGCCGACCTTGAAGAGAAATTGTCGACTGTTCCCCCAATTAGCGAGAGCCATACGAGAGATACCCCTCGGCCCGTTCCCCGTAGGAATATGTGTTAGGACTTGAGAAGTCGAGTTGTGATTGAGCAAAAGCAGTTGGAGTAATGCCGCAACGATGCAAATCAGAACTTGCCAACAATGTTGGATACATATGGATTACCAGGCGGAGTTCAGGCCCTGCATTAATGAACGTTAGTGCACATGTAGGTGATAGTGATAGTGGTAGTGGAAACTGAGTCTCCACAGAAAGACTCCACGAACAGCGACCAAAAGTCAAAGGCCGGCTTCCACCATTGCGATGCGGAATACTAGGAATGTAATAGTCGAAATTTGACCAGGGACCGACAAGACACCTACCACATTCCATGTACGACGTTCTGCGTGACGTACTAAGTATGTTGTGGGATGATTCCACTACAGATAGCCGTAGCTACCCTTACATTGTCTGTTGAATCAGGCCTGCTGTAGTGGAACGTACGCGGAGAGGAGGAGCGCTAGGAAGATGCAGAGGCGCTGGCAGTTACCCTTATGACGGTGAGTAACCACGCATTTGCCTCGAGTACGCGTACGTATGAAAAAGTTTCCGAAAGGCCTGTCAACTTTTCGGACGATCCTCGCCTCAGTTCCTCGAAGGTGACAGTGTCGGAGAAACCAATGAGGGAGACTATACCCCTCCGGAAGTGGAACCTCTGGAACAGTTCTTGGCGGTGCTCGCCCGCTATTGTTGAATGACTTCCGATGAGAATAAAACGCCAATGGGTGACTCGGCCCTACGGACAAACATCCCCTGCGTACCTTGGGTTAGCAGCAACAATACTTCGGTATCCAAGTCTACTGCACTATATCTCCTTGTCTAAACTCCAACTGTTCCCCTGACCTAGTAAATCCTAACTATCCATACAAAACTCGCATCGCTCCAAACTATTGCTAACCCATGCAGTATCGGAAGTTTGGCCATTTTCGCTAAGATTTGGATAATAGGGACTGAGGTTCACCAGGCCAACCCTGATCGACAGAAGATTAGATTATGAATGTGCATGTGACATGAAGGTGGGTGCTTACCGACCATGACAAACCGGATGCCAGATCGAGTCTAGAAGGAACCACCACGTTACAGTACGGGCGAAGAGATTCGTATGGCGAGGTTTGCTTTGGCGTGTTAACCTCGGAAAATGTCGATGGGATGATCACATCCAGTATTGGTTTGTCTCCCAAACTTCGCCGTCTGAGCCACTCTTTCAAGCCAGGATATCTCGTCTCCGAAAACCCCTGGTATTTCCAAGGTTTGCAAGTACTCCCAGTGATCCGCAGGACACGTGACCTCCGAACTAAAGAAGGCTTCGATGTGTCTCGCATGAAGCTCTACGTGGCGAACACTTGGGAATGCTTTGGCAGCAGCCTCAGCCGATTCCACATCAATGCCTCTTGCTGCCTGCCAAAGCTCTGAGAAATCACGGAGGCAGAGATGCTCAACGCTGGAAAACTTGGATGAAAGATTACCGAAAACAAAAGACATGTCGCTATCGCAGCTGTACGGTTTAGTAGCAAACATGATGGAGGTTTGGAGCTACAATCGCCTCCATTAGGCCGCGTGCAGAGATTACATTAACCGAAAGAGAGTCGAGAAGTGGAAAGTGGAGTGTGTCAGGGAGAAATCGGAAATTCTTGGTACTCCCAGATAACCAGAATGTTTTCAACTTCCTCAGAGAAAATTCCATGTGGCCGTATAGGAACTCATCAGAAATTGGGATGTGCAGGATTAGAGTTTCCAGATTGGACAGTTCCGAGAGGTAGCTGAGATAGATCTGGCCTTGAAGCTTTAGGTAGTTCACCGGTGACCAGTCCTTATATGTGCCGAACCAAAACAGGCCAGTCATGTCGTGATCGATGATGGTGAGACGTTTGAATGAGATGGGCCCCCCTAAAGTGATGAATTGTAGGATGATGTACGTATCTGCAGTTTGGAGGTCCAGACTACGCCAGCGATGTCGACAACGAAGCACAGCGTCAAGCCTACCGTGGAACGCATCCCATCCGAGTCCGTCCGGGGAATACCAGCCCGTAGCTAAGCAAACCTCGATGTCAAGAGGACATTCTGCGCTCCTTGCGACGTGCGCCTCGACGAACGGAACGCTCCACGATTGGCTTATCCTAATACAGTTCCATAGTCCTGGAGAGCCCAAGATCAGATTTCTCCAGTGGCGTGACACGCTGGCTAGTTCACGTTTGACATGATGGTGCGGGTCGCACCCCGGGAGTGGGTTTTGGAGGGCGAGTTCGATGATGCGCACAAGGACTTCGACGGGAAGGTGGCTGATGAAGTCTGCTGGTATCGGACAAGAGGCGCGTACTTGATCTCTACAAGTTCGTGTAGCAGTACGGATGAGGCGAAGTTGATCGAGTAGCTCTTGTTCCTTCTCTCGCAACTGATCTAGCTCAGCGCGTGTCAGTGTGAGCTCATCACGAGCGCTACATATCTCAGAATGAGACGTTGGCCGTGGAGAACATGAACGATCGGGGTAGCAATCACCTGTGGATTGACGCTGACATTTCATGATCACCTGAACGGTCAAGAGAAGGTGACATTTTGGCTCTGAGTGTCGTGGTCATATACCAACAGAGCTGTTTGTGATAGCCGCTGTGAGAAACTACATTCGCAACCATTCTCCCACTTCCTACACACATCATGACGTAATTTGGCACGGAGGAACTGCCAATTGACCACACCCAGTAGTCCATTTCGTCTATCTCATCAATGTTATGTACTGATGACTTCGACACAGTCATAGGTCGAACGTCTGGTTACATAACTTACTAGAGACACTTTGTGATGACGAATCCAGGGGCCGTTAGAAACATTGCCCCAGATTCTCGGACGACGACACATTCATCTGCCATGCTCATGGAATCGTTGTGCAGGATTCCTGGCTTGCGAGCAATCCTATTGAACGATTCCGAGCCCCCTAAACTCCAGCCACTTGTTCTGTTTCGCATTCGATGGGCACGTACCTTATACTTCATGAATTGTTAGCTGTTGGATACTGGATGATGACAGTCAGTGGACGAAAAATATCCATCCACCCGGCACTGCTGAGCACATTATGCTCACTGTGGTCTTTCTAATCTTGCAGAAAACCATCAGTAGACCACTTTGTGAGCTGGTAGTCCTAGGGAATCTGTCCAGTGCTGGACAGCTCTGGACAGCTCTGGCCAGCAAAAGTGATTTACTGATGTGACTCAGCACCCTGTCATCACAACTTGAAGCTGGTACTTATTGTCAAGTTCATTATATGGAAGAGCTGAGTTTTTGTAGTTGATTCATTGGAACATGAGCTCCAGGTACTGACTCAGATTGATGGATTGAATGTTGGGTGAAAATTGCTTGCCTGGGAGCCCATGCACCTGGTTAGGCCATATGAGATGGTCAGTGGAGGCTGACAATTGGCTGTTGGTGACAGGCCAGTGGAGGTCAAGCCCATGTATGGCTTGTGCACATGTGTTACATGAGAGCCATGAACCTATTGTCACCTTGTAGTATGGGAGAGCCCAACTGATGAGTGTCACCATGTAGTACAGCTGAGCCTGAGAGGAAATGTTATCATGAGGAATGGTGCAGCTGTGGTTTGAATTGTCATTGTCAGTTACAAGCAGGCTGGGGAGTAAGTGTCATCATGGACTATGGGAGAGCCCAATAAATGAGTGTCACCATAGCATACAACTGAGCCCAAGAGTAGGAGTCATTATGGAGAATGGCTGGGCAGAGGTTAGAATTGTCATCATGGGGTACAAGCCAGCTGTGGGATTAGGGTGTAGCCACTGCAATATGAGTAGTCCCAGGTAAGCCCAGAGTTGGGTGTCCCTAGAAGGTATGGATGGGCTCAGCCCCTGAGTTCACCCCTGGCAACACTGACATGCAAGCCAGCCCAACACCAATGCCATGCTAGCCATCCTGGCAACACTGCCATGTGGGCCAGCCCACCACCAATGCCATGCAGGCCATCCTGGGATGAATGCCATGTGAGCTGGGCCAACACCAATGCAATATGAACAGGCCCAATATCAATGCCATGCAGGCCAGCACAACACCAATGCCATGCTGGCTGTCCTGGCATTGATTCCATGTAGGCAGACCCAATACCAATGCCATTCAAGGCATCCCAGCACCAATGCAATGTGAGCCAGGCCAACACCAACCCAGGACTAATGCCATGGAAGCCATCCCAGCTGGCACTGATTTGATGTGAACCAGCACAACACCAATGCCATGGAAGCCATCCTGGCACCTATGCCATATGTTCTGGCACATCCCCAATGCCATGAGGCCATCATGCAGGCTGTCCTGGCACCATCATAATGAGTTCTGGCACATCCCCAATGCCATGAGGCCATCAGTCAAGCTGTCCCAGCAATGCTGGCTGTCCTGGCATTGATTCCATGTAGGCAGACCCAATACAATGCCATTCAAGGCATCCCAGCACCAATGCAATGTGAGCCAGGCCAACACCAACCCAGGACTAATCGCCATGGAAGCCATCCCAGCTGGCACTGATTTGATGTGAACCAGCACAACACCAATGCCATGGAAGCCATCCTGGCACCTAGCCATATGTTCTGGCACATCCCCAATGCCATGAGGCCATCATGCAGGCTGTCCTGGCACCATCATAATGAGTTCTGGCACATCCCCAATTGCCATGAAGGCCATCAGTCAAGCTGTCCCAGCACCAATGCCATGAATGCCAATGCCATGGAGGCCCACCCAGAAATTATACCATACCATGCCTGACCTGCCTGACCTCCTGGGAGCAGGTCCACAGTGTATGTGCATACTGGTACCAGTACCATGCCAGAGATGCATGTATTACCACAATGGTGGCTCTGGTAATGACCAGAAGACTAGCCAACTACCCAGTACATTTAAACTGTGAATTCAATGCCTTATGGCCTCCAGCAAGCCAGATCAATACCATGAAAGTCACCATCATGCTATACAGCAAAAACAATTGAGTTATGCTGGCCAGTCATCATTCAATCATCTAGGTGAACCATGACTCCATTGGCCCTTAGCACTTGTCACACCACAGCCTTGGTACAGACATCACCATACCAGATTGGTTTTCCAGTATCTGAATCATACAGTAACAACTACCAGCAGGGGTAGCTACTTCTTCCTGGAGATTGCATTTTGACAATATAGAATATATTTCTGCAGCTAACAAAGTACAGGTACAAAGTCAAAAAAACACAAATGGATTGTGAAATGACATGTACATTAATGTTAGTCAACCTCCATCCTACCTTCCTGTCTGGGCACTGATCCAACTGCTAGTGGTGGTGGTGTAATAGAGATTGCTAGACCTCCAGCAGGTCCATGCACAGGTTTGACATTCAAAGGAGGTACTTCCAAGCTGGCACCTCCCTTGAATGAAGCCAGGGGGGGTTCAGTGGACTCCTGTCTTGAGCCACTTCAGGATGATTGAACCTCTACAACACCAGTGGCAGTGCCAAGTTCCACCATGACTGGCATGTGAGGTACTGGTGTAGGGTTGGAAGTAGCATGAAATGGGACCAGAGGATGGTTAAGCATGTCTGGGGCTGGGAATAGGTGATTACAGATGGCATCTACCACCCAATGGAGAGTGGCAAGCTCAGTATGGGTTATGTTACATTTCACCTCTGTTTTTCCTTTTTCTCTTTACAGTTACCTTGTGTTTGATCCAATGGACCACTTTTCCTTTTCAAGCTGTCTTCTCATTGCTCCAATGGCTCTCTGTTTCCACCACTAGCATTATCTGCTTGTTACATGCCTAGAGCATGTGTTGTCATTGTTCAACCAATGGCATAGTTACCTCAGTACATGCAGACACCTCATGGTCTGTTCTCTGTACAGTATTTAGTCCATTGGCTCAAGTCCTGGAAACCCAGACTTGAGCTGCTCAATCATATGCAGTGTTCTCTCAGAACTTTGTCCTCAGTGTCCCTAACCTGGACCACTCTTACTGACATTGTCCAAATCCTCTGTCATTTACAGAGGTTACTGCAGCTGTTGCTCAGTAGAAACCAATAGACTGCATTTGAGCTCTCCCCACATCTTGACTTTGGTCAAGCATAACAGGTTACTTCTATCTCCTGCCTCATGTCAGCATCTCCTGCTTGAGGATGGTAACCTCTTCCCAATACTCATCACAATGGCATGGATTATCAACACTGGTTGTAGTAGTTGGTGCTGGAGTGATGGGTGGGTCTGTTGCAATGCTTCTTGCATGAGACCATGACTGGGATAGCCATGACAGAGTGATAATTTCCACCACTCAATAGAAATATCAGTTCAACTGATGTCACACACCAAAGGTGTTTGGTGAGGTGGACATGGATACAGCTGATGAATGGAGATGAAGACCATAGCCCTCATGCAAAGAAGGACATCCAGAAATGCTGGCAGTCATCCCTCACACAAGAATGAGTCATCAGTGCCAAAGAAAAAGAAAGGGAGCAAGTTAAGTGCTGGTTAAAATTCTTAAGTGCCTGTGTATGGCATTCTGGTTTTCAACATATCTCTGCTGTTTCTGCAGATACCAAGACCATTCCCACACTCACTTGTAGTGCTCAGCCACATGATCCTACCTTCCAAAATTGGAAAGGATTTGCACACTCCACATGTTTCTACAGCACTCCCTCCAAAAGACACTCATTTTGCTAATTCTCCTGATATGGCCACCTCCACATCAATCTTTTCACTTGTCCCCTTTGCTAGGGACCATGGCTACATATATCTACCAAGAGTTCCTACCAGCTTCTGTCCTGAAGCATCCTGGTACATCCCACCCTCATCTGCACCCTCTCAGCCCATCCAGCTTGGACAGCATGTTCTTTTTGCCAGTATGACCTCTAGGAGGATGTTCTTTGATTGCCTCAGGTCTGTCATTCACTTGGAAAGGTCTTATGTGGTCATTTCAGTCTCTCCAGTCCAAGAAGTATATGGATCCTTCCTCCCTGCTCCCTGCAATGTCTTCATACCAGTCTTGTCTGTCAGTCTTCCAAGATTGTGACAGCTACAGTATAATCTACTGTTCTCCACTCTCCCTGATTGCATCCATGATGAGTATGATACACATCTTGCCTCCTTGTTGCAAGATACAGCAGAAGACACTCCCCCTTCATCCTCTCTTCCAACAGAGCCTCATTCATGAAGTTTTATTTGCTTCACTGAGAGGATGGTTAGGGGGGGAAAGTTGCCATCCCCTATGCTCCTGTCACCCCACAGACCCCCAAAGCTTGACCCCTGTTGACATCTGACTCACCCTGTCCACTTTTGGATGTACTATATTGGCATCAGATCAGCACTGCCTCTCTGTCATCCCACCTTGGCCTAGAAGCAATCTCTTCAAGATGTGACATGCACAGCCTCCCCCTAATGCAATTCCAGTGTGCTTTCCCAGTTCCTGACATTACTTGACTCATACTTTGATGTTCTGACTGTCTTTGACTTACCTATTGCAAATACTTACCAATCTTTTGACTTTGCTCACTGATTCTTCACTTTTTGGCTTGCTAATCCTTACTAATGCTTACCAATGCTTTCCAAGACAATTACCCATCACTTACATTCCTTACTCATCAGTTACCAATCACTTACCAAGTGTTTGCACCTTGTTTTCCATGGGCAACACCCCCATACTGTATATAAATCACTGTACTTAGATAGCAAAAAAAAAAGAAGACATCAGAGAGCCCCTCTTGCTCACATTTTTTATCATCACTCAGTAAATCCTCCATCAGCTTCAATAGTTGAGACTTTATTAAGGGTCTAACTGTTGTCTACATTGCTTATTATCATCAATCAACAATCTACTTTGCTCCAAGTCCTCCCTGAGCTCAGTGCAGCTCAGAGCATCAAATTAAGTCATCATTCATCCTTCTGTAGGCTGACAGCAGTCTACCCTATCGCATTCTCTCACATTCCTGCTCCTTCTTTGTCAGGAGCACCCCCAACCCTCAGCACTCATCTTTGAGTGTTATACATGGCAATGCAAGTCGGATGGCCACAGGTTGAACCCACCCCTTTTAACTGTGATTTCAAAGTCAGATAAATGTGAATCAAATGCTCTCATAGCTACTGGATTGCCATGACTGGCACAAGCATAATACTAGGACTTGTATTTAGCATGATAGGCATAACTTGATAGCACAAGCTGATAGATGTCTGATGAAGAAAATCAAGTTCACCCTGGGTTTGAATCCTGGACAACCCAGGTACAGCCTCCCAGATGGAGTATCCTAATACTGATAGTGACCTACATACATTGTGCCATCTCACACAGATAGTGTGTACATCCCATCCACTGTTCAACTTGGAGATCAAACCTGCACTGTCTGGATTTCATCCAGCAATCATCTGCACATCACCCAGGCTGCATCCAGCAAGGAGGCCGCCAAACACCCTTGTGTGTATCAGTGGTGCGTATGTACATCTAATCTACTTTTCGACTTGGAGATTGAACCTGCATTATCTGACATTCATCCAGCAGTCATCCAGACATCATCCACAGGATATCCCGCAAGACAGCTGACAAACATTGGTGTGTACACCTGTTGGGCTTTGGCACCAGGATCTGTGTACCGTAGATTGGGTAAGCATTGCTTATCATGATTACTACATCTCTGGGCCCACAACAACTTGACAGGCCCCTCCTGATCACAATATTATTGGCACCTACCTACACTTAAGTGTGTATACAATTACTGCTGATTGTCAATTACTTGTGCCTAATACATTCAGTCCCAGCCATACTGCCTACCCCACAGTAACCATTGACATTCATTGTGGGACAGCAAGCAAGCTTATCTACTGTAGATCTGACTCTCAGGTCATCAGCAGTCACTTGATCTTGAGTGTTCCAGGGGGAGTATTATTGATGGTTGAACACTCATTTCCTAGTGCTGAGACAGCAGAATGTAGGTCATCACAGTGTCCCCTGTATTTTTGTGCTGAATTCTTTTCAAAGGGTGGAGGCAAGTTGGAAAAAATGGATGGACATGCTTGGCATGCTGGGACAACAAAGTCCACTCAAGAGACCATGCAAGGAGGCATGAAAAAACACAGACACATTTGAGCTCTGTTCAGTATCATTGTTCTAAGCACCAGGGAGCTTTTGATGCAGGGGGCTGTGTACCAGGTGATGGTGAAAAGTTCCCCAGTACCCATGATCAATCCATGCATGGTATTGGCCTTATTCTTGAGGAGATATCTGTCCCTAATGTGGAGGATGGCTTTGGGGAATACATTGGTGCAGACTTTGGTGAGGGGGGGGTTCAGTTTCAGGGGTCTCTTCTTGAGAAGAGCCATGCCCAAATTGCAGCAGCTCTTTCTAGCTTACTTGATGAGGATAAATTATCAGATGAAGAGGGACCAGGGGAGCAAGATGGGGAGACACTGGATAGTGAATCAGAGGTGAATATGTTTATGGGGACTGGAAATGGTATGGGTTACTACTGCTAATGTCAAATTTGTGATTTTTGACCTGAATTTTAGAAGGGGATACTGGAATGAAATCTGATGGATGGATGACTACTTCTGAGGGAAATGAGTGGTTTCCATTGCCAAACAAATTGGTATGCAGCTATTAACAGAGAGGACTGACATTCACTAATAATACTCCAGTCTTGTACAATAGATATCTTGATGCACATCCCTTGCTCTGTCTTCTCACAGCATCAACTTGATCTCTTGATGTGGCTACTACACATCAATGGCATTCAAGATGTACCATCTGTTAGAACAATGAAGACTCTTGAAGATGGCCTTCAAAAAATCTGTGGTATTGAAACTTTGCCTTTCACTGGTGCTTTTGGGCACCAATATTATATGAATTCATTTTCAGACATTATCAGGCAGGTTGGTGGTTCATTGCCATTACTGACAAATACTGATTATGATAATATAGGAGATGGCTAACCCACATATTTGACCACAACTTCACTTCTACCCAGAAAATTCAGGGGGACAGTTGAATGAGGCATACCAGGCCAGAAGGTGGTTAAAAGAAATGGATCCAACACAGCTGACTCCTATGATTTGTCTTCATGGTCAAGATTTTTTCATATTTGAGCCAGCCCTTTTGTCAAATGGGCAGGTTTGCATGCCTATAAGGTGGTTTAAATGTGGAGGGCTTTTTCTTGCCAATGCATGGTCTCTTCATGCTGTTGTTAATGACACAGGAAGTGGTTGGATAGTTGAGGGGCACACAGAGATTGAAATCTCAGAAAGAAACTTACTGGTATCATTCAAGAATTGGAATATCAGTCAATCAACATCTGTTCTCCCTCCTGCACACAATATCTTAGGTATGTTTCTTTTACTACTACATTTGTCCTACTCAAAACAACTAGGAATTGAAAATAGTCATCAGGCTGGACTGTTGTTGGAACCATGGACACTCACAAACCCACATGAGGGAAATCATTGGCGTGTGCTTGCAAATGGAGCTTATGTCTATGGTTTTCCAATCTGGCTTTACTGTGATGATACTTCAGGGAATGTATCAAAATGTTGGAACAAGCACCATTCATTCCTGTTCACACCAGCTGGCTTGCCACATGCTGCAGTGCATCAGGAATACAATGTTCACTTCCTATGCACATCTAATGTTGCACCACCCCTTGAAATGTTGGATGGTTTTGTAAATCAGCTTGAGTAAGTTTATGTTATTTTTGGTATTCACTCTGATTTATACATATTTTCTATGGCTGCTCAAGAGACAGGTGTATGGGCATGGGATTGTGTACACAAGGAGCAAGTGTTAATGATTCCCTCTGTCTTAGCCCTGTTGGGGGACAATCCAATGCAAAGTGAGCTTGCCTGTCATGTAGGGTTGAGGGGAAAATACTTCTGTCATGTTTGCAATGTCAAAGGCCATGACACTCAAGACTTGGACACAAATGCTAATGATGAAACACTGGAGCAGAGTGATGGAGGACAGAGTGATGGTCAGAGGTCAGTCAGGAGTGCAGGGGGGGAGTCAGTTAGTGGTAGAAAGAAGGGAAAAGGGAAAGAGACAATGAGTGGTATGGTTTCTTGAATTAAGTGATTTCTGAAGGTATGGGCACATATGACTGTCTAGGCAACTACTTAAAATTTTAACCAAGATTGGTGAACCTTGCCAGCGAGAGCAGTCAATAATTGAGCTCAAATCAATGTTTACAATGGTATCTACCATAGGGAATCAAACCAAAATCAAGGAGAAGATGACATCAACTGGATTGAAAGACACATATCTTGAATACTTTATCAATGGGATGGCAGCATCATGTAAGAGGCAGCAGGGAAGCAGTTCAAAGCAGGAGGCACTGGATGTGTTCATCAAGGGACTTCCTGAGAATGTGTATAGCCCAGTGTGGCACATCAAAGGTGAATGGCTTGACATGTGACACAAAGAAAAAAATCCTCACAACCCCATAGGACTTAATCCTCATGCAGACACTCCTGTGGAGGTGCTGCACACTGTTCTTTTAGGATTTGTCAAGTATTTCTGGAGAGATGTGGTGAACATCAGGGTTGGCAAGAACAAAATAAAGCATGAACTTCTTGAAGCTCACCTGTCTTCATTTGATACAACAGGGCTAGGGATACCACCCCTGTCTGGTCACACCCTTGTCCAGTATGCTGGATCATTGGTGGGCCATGACTTTCGTGCAATAGCACAGGCTGCACCATTTGTTCTCCATGGACTTGTTCCACAAGAATGCTATGAGGCCTGGGTAGCATTATCAAAAATGATCCCCCTCATTTGGAAACCAGAAATTGAAGATGTTGATGCTCACTTGGTAAGTGAATAGAACTTCCCCTTTTGTTTAAGACTTATTTCATGTGCCAGACACAACTTGAAATTGCAATTCAAGAATTTCTTGCTCGCACTGCATGCTGGACACCTCGCTGGTTCAACAAACCCAAATTTCATATATTGCTCCACCTTCCAGAGCATATCCATTGTTTTGGTCCTGCTGCCTTGTTTGCCACTGAAGGATTTGAGTCATTCAATGCAGTCATCCATGCCAAAAGTGTTCACTCAAACTGACAATCTCCATCATGTGACATTGCAAAGGCATTTGCTCATGGAAACCACATTCATCACATTCTCAGTGGTGCTCCATTACACATCCATGCAAATCACCCCAACCTTGGAGTTCAAATAAAGAAGCTGATTGAGAAGCCACCTCTGGATGCCCTGAATGCTGGAGATACTGGAGTTTGGTGGCCTGCAGGCACAGCCCTGCTGACACTTGTTAGTAAACCCAATATTATCACAGATTATCTGGGTATGGATAGCTCCCCTCTGTCAAGCCAGGATCTTGTGTAAAGGACAACCTGCCCTGGCATCCATACCATGAAACCAGGACTGGCCAACAATTCCCCACAGCTCTCTCTTCCCTTTCCCAGGAAATACTCCATGACAATAATTTTCATACATGCAGGTCTATGATCTTGATGAATGGGGACAGATGCATTCCAGGCCAATGGGTCCTCATTCACCAACAGAATGGTCAGCAACCTCTGGTTGCACAGGTGAAGGAGATTATTCAAAGGTGAGGGTCAACTGCAGAGATGACATCTTCCCCAGATGCCATTTTTCTTCAGTCAGGAAAAATACAGGGGTCCACCAGACCTTATCAGATGCCATTTGTGCAGTATGATGATACCAATATACTTCTCCCCATTGAGGTAAGTTTACTACATTTATCCATTCATGATACTTAGTTCAAGTAGCAGTTACTGTGCTCAGTCAACCTTCAGCATTGTTGTGATATCCACAATTGTGCTGCAGCTCACCAGGGAACATCCAATACCTCCCCCAGTATTGTTCACAAGGGAAACCCAAATGATTTTGTGCTAAACACTGCAAAAATGCATGATTCCAAGCACATTCTGCCCCTAGTTTGTGAACCCCTAACTCCACTCAGCACAGATCATGCAATTATGGAGGGTTGTGCTCGTGAGATAGACAATACAAAATCTACACAATACCCAAACAATATCCCCCAACCTTGGGCGAGCTCATCAGGGCATTCTATTAGGCTGATTAAATAGTAGATGCTACCATTATGCTCCAAGTCTAATAGATGTGTTGTTCATATTACTGGTCATGTGTTCCTTAGTCAGCATATCACTGTGAGTTGCACTGTGATACACCTTTGCAAAACCAGTGCAGGGGCCTTGTTCTTGGATGTGGTGTGCAAACCATCATGTCTTGTTATGCCTGTGTACAGCCTTTTGATGATCCTACCAGTCCATGTTGGAAACATGTGGATGAACATGTGGACACCTATCTCGGTTCCAATGTGCATAAAAACTCACTCAGCTGCCCTCCATGGTTCCCCCAGTCCATTGATCCCCACCAGTCAGTCCTTTACAAGAACTGGCATTTCAGTCACCTGCTGCCACAAGATCATCAGCTTACATCTAACCAACTTGAGCAGCTGGCCAATCATCATGACCATTCATCCTATTGCATGAGCCCCAATTTCAGTCCTTAACTCCCTCTGTGTCACCAGCCCATTGCAATCCTATCCCAGTTCCCAGCCCAACAACATTTGCATCGCCCAGCAGCAATTTCCCTGGTCCTCATCAACCTATGGACCTTTCAGACACTTCTGCATCATTCAGCTCCACATTGATACTGCTGGCTAGATCCCCATTGCCAGTGCCAATCCTGTTGTCACATTTGGAGCTTTTCACAGTCTCCCAGGAGTTTGCCATACTGCTGGGAGTTGATACTCCACAAACCAAGTGTAAGTCCAGAAGTTCCTACACAACCATAGCTAAACATGTCTACCAGTTCAAATGTCAAGGTGGATCTCCAGTATTGTGGCTGGGAGTGGGGTGTGTCAGCCAGACATCAATGCTGCACACAATGCCAATCTGATCACTGTGTATAGGTATTATGCCAATACCCTGGTGGATGCAACCAGGGAGTGGTGATCACATGTTGAGCAGCATGCTGTGCTTACCAGATTCTGGCAACAGTTAGCAGATCTTCTGGAGGAAGAGCCAGTAGGTGTAGGCTACTGTCCTAAACCAGACCAGCTTTAATTTGTATATTTAACTCATTTCAATGAACATTATGTTGAATGGAATTGGAGAAGTGCACAAATTGGCCATGATTGGATTGTGACAGTGGGTTATGGTACATGGTAGCTATGGGGCCAGTAATTCACTGGTGATTCTTGCACTGTGCACTAAATATGTTTGTTGCCAGTCTATGGGAAAGCATTAGGTACCAGCCTCAATTCTACCTTCGCCTCCTCATGGTTGGAGTAGGATAATTATCATCTGACCACTGTGGGGGCCTATGATTCTGCTCTGGGCAACAAGCCACACCATCCTCTTCTGCTTGATCCAACAGTCTATCTTCCCTGTCCATTGCATGGCCTCTAGGCCTGGCATTCGAATTCCTACCCACCAGATCAACTCCTGACATAGATAAGTGTGTGTAATTGTGTTATGGATGTATACCTACAATCATTAGGTGATATGACTGTCTTATCATTCTGGGCTGCTGTAGAATGCTGTAATGAGAGGATTAACCAAGTGTGCATGGAAACTGACCATTGGATCTGATTCTTGGCTTGGGCTTGGGCTTCCTTGCAGTTGAATTGCTTCATCATTGGCATGATTGTCTGATACAATTCTATCAGCAATATTCATTGTTGCTGGATACCACTTACCAGCTGGCTTGGGGTATGCAGTAGCCATATTGCACTGGTCTGATGTGGATTGGTTCCATCATCTGTTGTCCTCCTGTGCATTGGATGTTCCAGTGGGATGATCTTTG